TATCTAGTGCTGCATGCGAAAAAACTTTATAATATCCGAGACAACTGAAAAATTGCATGGAATCGAATGATCGTTTAAATAATTAGGCTTCAATAAACAAAGAAAAAAAATTTCTAAGAACCTAGATTTAGATATTTTTGTACAATTGTTTTCAGAATATCTCGAAAACAGAAAAATTATTTTATATTTAATTTTTTAATATTTATATAAGTGCTGTATTATTAATATCCTCTACTTGTATAACATGTAATTTTTTTAAAAAAATTGAGTTTGTTTAAAAATTATAGTTAATTTAAAAATCAACTATCAATATTATTTTTGATTAGTATTCAGGTATAAATTAATTTTTGTTAATAGAAGTTGAGAAATTTAATGAGCATTATAGCATGAAAAATGTATCCCAAAAAATCCCAATATATAGGTAATTTTGTATTTTTATTTTTTAATCGGGTACTTTTTTTTTATTACTGTAATGGGTATACTTGTTGTGAAAAAAAATTGTTTAATGAACTACCAACTAAAGTAAATTATAAATTAATAATATTCTTCGTATGGCATACCACCTAAGGGCGAGTGAGTACCTCCTACAAGTATTTTACTGAGAAAAAATATGGAAAATGATAAAAGGGTCAAAAATTACTGCCCCCCCTTAGTAAAAATTTTCTAGCTACGTGCCTGGGCCACCCATGTGTGAAGTATGTCCGTCTTTTTTGTAGTAACTCATTCAAAGATATTTGTAGAGACTTGAAATTTTTAACAGAAAACTTATACTTGATTTTTCTAGGTGAGATAAAATTATAAAACATTTAAGTTATTCATAGACATTTTAATTTTGTAAGTTTTTTAAGTAATTTTTATTTGGTAAGCAATCAGTGAATGAAATTGTTAGACCAAACAGAAATGCTTGAAAATTGAACAGGAGGTTATCATAAGTTGTAAGAAGTGGTAAAAAAAAAAGTTAATTATATTATGTCTATTTTTTTATATATATATATATATATATATACAAGAGTTAATATTTATTTTGGATGAAAATCGTAAATATTACGGTTTTTCAAAACTTATATAACCGAACTTAGCTCCGAATCGTATTTCGTTAGCAATGGTTTATCGTTGCTTACAGATATAAATTAAATACATTTATGTATCCGACTTTCCTATAACTTCCCACCTACAACAGCGTGCATACCAGTCCCTAACAGTATCAGATCTTTTTTAAATTTAAATTTAAAATAAATAGTATGTGTAACATTTTTTACATGTATTTTCATTTTAGTATACGGGATTATAATATATTATTATACTTAATCTTTTTCTGCATTATGTACGATAAAATATATAATAATCTTAATTTAGGAAACTAGCAAATTGTTTATAATTATTGGCAATCGTCTAAAAAAACCATCAGGTTGTTTGAATGATGTGTGGTAATTTTTTTTTCTTTTGTGTCTGTTAACAACTTTTCTACCAAAAATCTTGCTGCGATGAAAAAATTCCAGTGGCGGAATATTTCTAAGGAACAAAATCGATCTCTTATCATTTTTAGTTTGGAGCAATATTTCTGGTAGAAAACACCGTGTTAACATAATTAAAAAAATGAAACCGGTAACGTCGCAGTGCGCCGTAAATATTTGCCGTTTTACCTATACTTACAAAGTTATAATTTGTAAACAGTTGTATAATAGTTGTACAATATAGAAACACAATTGTGAAGTTTTATCGTTTATTAATTATTTAAACAAAAAGGCAAACAATAACATATTTCGAAAAAAAAAAAAATCCCTAGTCATCAGATGGTTAAATCCCATTAATGAGGCGATGTGACTATTCGTCGCCATCATCGTCACTCGAAATGCATATTATTATAGGCTCATCATATTCATATTTATATTGTGAACCTTGTCATGTGTGCATACCATTAATGGCATATTGCATTATTGGTGACGCGGTAGGGCTATACTTTTAAATATGTTCGTATATACGTATATATACGAACAAACGTATTATTATTTAATTTCATATTTACCTACGATTCAAAATATTTAACTAAATTTGTAAAAATATAAGTGATTATAAGTAATAATTCATATAAGTAATACATTTCATGAAGCCACGATTTGTCTACACCATTATTTTTTTTTTATAGTTTTTTAAAAATATTAAACATTATTAGTTACGATACTATCACAGGATACCTATGACGGTGATGACGCTGAGCTGTAGGTAGGTGACACCGGCTATAAAATGGTGACGCCGGTTATAAAATGGTGACGTCGGGCTGTAATAGGACGGTGACGCCAGGCTGAATAACACACGAGTCGTGAACTAGATGGAAATACTACTAATCCTGCACATCTCAGAAATCGTATTACAGGTTTAGAGAATACTGTTTTATTACATAACCATAAGTATACTCTCTACATTTCATTTAAAAAGGATTTAATTACCTACTTCAGGCTAATCGCATAATTATTTGGTACTAAGAACCTGAACAGGTTTAATATTGGCTGATGCTCTAGGTTTTGCAATTATTAATTCTAAAACTACAATAATGTAATTTCAAATGTATACACTTATGAAAATAGTAATTAGTAAAACTGAAATTGTTGTGTACAACAGCGCACGAAAATAATATAATAATACGAAAACTTACGCTTTTGTTTTTCATCAAACTCCGGAGAACTTTTTTTGAGTTTCTTCGAACATGCGTAGTCTTGTCGGTCTGACAGAAGTCTTTATTTTTTACAACCAAACGGTTTTCGTCCTTCATCAACGGTTCAGCAACGGTAGTATTGTTTTCAGTATTGGTCGAAGACCTTTTTACGATTGTAGCTGTGTCCATATTATATTATGATCAAAAATACGTAAAAAAAAAAAAAACACCGAAGAGTACTTTTGTGTAAAGAGAGAAACGGTGTACTGTGAAATATTTTACATGTTGGGAAATCGAAAAATAACCTTTCTAAAGTACCTTCCCAGTCAGATTTCCTTTCAGAAAAAATGCTATAATTGTAAATTGGAGCAAAATTGCTGATAGAGAAGTTGTTCACAGAAAGAAAAAAAAAATCTTAATATTTTACTAATATATATATTAATATATTTCGTACATTTTTTCGTTTTATTTTAAGGTTTTCACATTTATTGAGAAAACTCCCGATAATATCAAAAAATTACTTTTCAGAAAAATTGCTACATCGTATACATCGGCCAAGATCTCTGGTAGAAAAGTTATCCACAGATAAAACAGTTGTAAAACCATAAGCTTCTTCGTTCCACTCAGAATCTAAAATGAAAGTTATGTGTGATGTATGATAGGACCATTAACAAATTTTATCCTTTATTCGATATGTCATTATGGTATAGGGTCCAAGAAATTTAAAATAGCTCTCACCCCTTAATGTTTTTAAAACCGTTACTGCTAACGTTTAAATAAATTTTACTAATATATTTGAGCGTGGCGATGAATGTTATTGATTTTACTGTGATGTTGTAATTTTTATATTTTTTTTTCGAATCTCAATTCCCTACTTACTTAAAATAATATTCTTATGAATCAGAAATGTTATTGTATATCTTTATAATATTTTGAAATTGACTTAATAATTTCTGTAGTCGTAAAATCAACTTTTCGCAACATTTAGGTAGATATAGTCTAATGCAGGGGTCTTCAACCCGCAGACCGCGGGCCGCTTGGGGCCCCCTTGTCATTATTTGCGACTCACGATCAAATTTGAAATATAGCATATTTTTTCTATTTCGATGAAATTAGAACGGCCATAAGCCATCGCTATCGAAAGAATTAGGAGATAAATTAAATTACCTACTCTTTTTGATAGTACTTACACTTGTGAACATATATTTTCACGAATGAAAATTGTCAAATCGAAAACTAGAGCTCGGTTAACTGACATTTACTTGTATATGTAGCATTTTCAAGAGTTGAAAGACCTGACCATTTACGTTTATGTACCACAAAACAAAAATTTGAATGCGGTATACCGAGAGGTTTTGACTAAGTCATTTTAGATAAAATGAAAAACCTCATACGAATCGATCGGTATCTGTGTATAGTTTTGGAAATGACCCTGCGGGACAAACAAAGGGTTTTTTTTTCTTTTTACACATGTACGCGATGTACACGCGTATTGAAGTACAACGGAACTTTAAATAATTACAATTTTGTTTCGTTAAAGGATTAAAAAAAAAAAAGTTTTTATAATAACGAAGTTTTTCACACACCTATAAACCAACAGAAATCCGCAAACAAACAGAAGAAAAAAAAAATGTAATTTTCGTATTTTAAGAACAGAAATCGTGTGTAAGCCCTATTTTTACTATTATAGGAGTTGAATTTCCATTACGGCCGTACGGATGACGATCTGTGGCATGTCATCGCTATTGTTCGTGAAATTATAATGTCACAAATGAATGGAAACGTGTGTGCACGATGGATCCGATAACGTCTCACACGTACCTACTGTTTAAAATTCACGAAGTTCACGGTGCGGATGGTATTTGTTTTGCGCAATGCATGTATGCGAATCGTTTTACAGACCTGGAAGACATTTTTTTTTTATAATATCGCGTACACAATTACACATTTGAACATTTGAAAAGTAACTATTTATTTTTGAAAAACAACATCGTGTCGGCGGGAGCTGAACGTTGGGTAGCGTTATAATAATAATAATAATAATATAATATTTACGGTCGGCAATGAAATATTATTATGTTCGCGAGGCGCCGATGGCTGCCTTCCCGGTTCCCATCCGGTCCAGCACGTTTACGGCAGCGGTGCTTGTTGCGTTGCCGCCGGTTACCGGTTACCGGCGCGCTTCGTGGTTGGCAAAACTGTAGCTGTATTATTAGTAGTGGGTCTAGGAGCCGCAAGCCATTTACAATAACATTATTACCATGACCGTTGTATGCACGTGTCGTGTAACGCCGTGTTGCGAAATACTGTACGAGCGACGGTTTTTTTTCGTGCCGCCGCCGTCACCGGCGCGCAACGTTCGCGGGCCGAGAGAACCGCCGCCGGAGAGGCAGAGAAAAAAAAAGCCGGCCCGGCAATCAGCTGTACAAGTACAATGTGTACAATGTTAATAACTATTGTACATGTATAATACGCGCACGCACATGCACGTCTCAAACACCACGCTGAGTCGCGTATTGTTATGATCGCGATAAAGGTCGTCAACGCTCGCGGTTTACGTTCAATTTTGTCCACCGTCATCCGTGTACCACGCCATCGCGAGCTGCCCGTGCGTTTGTTGTACCCTCGTCGTAATAACCTAACCGTAACGGTTAGATAATTGTATTAACATAACGTACTGTGGGACGCGAATCACGGATATCGGAACGAGCGTCGTCTTGTGTCGTCGCCGCCGACTGTACACGTAATATAATAACCGACGTCACAACATATTATTATGTCGGCCAACGACGTGACGGTCGTTGTTGAGCCACCCGCGGCGTCCGTCGACGGCGACGACGGCGGCGGTGGCTTCAGCGATACCGATCGAAGACGGTGCCGACAACAACAACAACAACAACAACAAAAAAAACAACAGCGGATTGGCGGATCGTCTGCCGCCGGCGCAGTCGGCACGACGACGTTGGACGGCGTACAGCGCGAATCGTGGCCGTCTGCAGCTGGTGCGGACGACGGAGACGACGACGACGACTACGACGCCAAAGGTGACGGCGGCATCGCCGAACGGACGCCCCTGTTAAACAACTGCAACAGACAGAGCGCGTGCGACGGAGACGTATGCTTGGTCGGCGAGGGGTAAGTGAACACAGTCTTTTATTTGCAATTTTTTTTTTCTCGTCTCAATACTTCTGAGCGAACGAGTTGGCCGCGCGACAACGGCGATCCGACTGCGCTTCCGCCGCCGTCGCCGCCGCCCTACCGCCGCTGTTTGCAAATCTGCCCGTGACAGGCCAACGCAATCTGTGACACGATTCAATGAATGAACGTGTCGAATTACGGAAGTCGCGAATTATTTACGTGTCGAGAGCCTATCGGGATTCAGTGCCGTTCTCAACCTACACGAACGTTTTCGTTTATCGGATTTTCAAACGGATGTCGTTCGCGATTGGTCGGTTATTGTTTTAAAATCCGTTTGAAAATCGACGTTTATGAGAACGGCTCTTGATGGCGTGTTGCTCCGCAGACGCGTCTTATAGTCCGGCTCGGCTGTAATGGTAGAAAATCAGGCGGCTCGTGTCATCGACCTCCACGCCGAGAGCGTGCAGTCCCCTCTATATGTTTCACAGTCTCAATGTATCAGTTTTCAGACGGTTTTCGAGCCATTGCGCCGAGAGTCGATACACACACTCGATAGCTCAATATATAATACGTTTATATTAAAAATAATATAAACGTATATCTTTTTTGTTTTAGGTCGTTTAAAAAAAAAAAATCCATAACGAAAACGATACTGTGCAAAGTATGATTAGTCATATTTTAGATTCTGAGCGTAACGGGGAATGTATTGGTTATACTGTGACGTGTGATACTATGTTTGTGTCTCTGTAAACAATTTTTATAAGAAAGGTCTTGTTCGAATAAAGAAAAAATTGTTTGTTTCATCATTTTAAATTTGTTTGGTTTAGTTTTTCAATCAGAAATCATACACCGAAATTCAAGTGATACATATTTTCCGAAATAAATAATCGCTTTCTTGTTGGTGTGCAATAAAGTCGTTTTTTGATTTTCTGTATAGTTTTCTCTGCAATAATTGGGAAAAATTTTGGCAAAATGGGGACGTTTTTTAATGGTTTCATCATTTTCAATTTTGTTTTTTTGTTGTAATTCGATTGATAATAAACTTAGAGAGCTGACATTTTTATAGAATACTTATATACGTCTTTTATAAACGTAGTGAAAATTGTTTAGTTTTTATTTGGTTTGATGCGGATAAAATTGTGTAACCGAACAGAAATGCTAGACAATTTAATACGAGGTTCGTTGTAAGTTATCATTGTCGAAAAAAAAACTTGAGTATAATGTAGTCTTAGCGTTTTAAGATCAAATTTTACCCAAAATCGTAATTTGTACCTACGAAATTTCAAAATATGTACTCGTATTACCGAACTTCACACAGAATCATTTTTCGTAAGCAATGGTCTATCGATGGGTACTGATATAAATTTAATAAATGTATGTATCCCACATTATTAACTTGTCAACTATAATAGTGGCAGTTCGTCTTTTTCACCTTTGTCACCGAGGTTGTCCTAAAATTAACAAAAGTTACATAAAAACTTGTCAGTTTTAACGATTTATTAGAAAATGAGAATCTAAAAGGTGATTTTCAGAGACCAGATATCACTTTTATATTACTTTTGTATTACCGTCGACACTGTTATTTCGTTGTTTCTATTATCGTTTTCTATATTTAGGGGCGTCGTCGGATTGAACTATATATAAAGTGACCTTTTATATTATAACGTTTTAAGCCGGTGTACTGTAGCACAAAACTTGTTTAACGTGTTTAAATAGAGTAATTCCAGTATTGGTATCTTTATCCATCTTTGTAAAGTCGATAGATCTTTGCAGTTCTTGCGAATACCTACTCTAAAATATAAAAAGATGTATGTAGAATATAGAAGAAAAAAAATTACAACTCAAGCATCGACTGATGTGATAGACGGAGCTGCAGGATTAAGGGGAGATGGTGGTTTTCGATTTTAAGACTTCGAAACACAAATAATAATTAAATGACAATGGGAAGGGACAGTTAAAACTTAAAATAAGTGCCCGTATATAATTTATATTCTACCGTGGGTCGTGTTTTTCGATTTCTTTAAATTCAGAGTGTATTTTCTTTTTTTAAATTAAGACCCCGAAATAGATCAGCTAAATTTTAATTATATAGATTATACAGAGTTCAATCTATATTGTACACTATAAAATATTATAGTTTGAGAAACTTTTGTTTAAAAAGAATAAAAGTTGGGAAAGTAGGATATGTAAAGTTATTTAATTTATATCTATAATGGTAAACTATCAATAACAAGAATACAATTTGTTTTTTTTTTTTTTAGATTTTTTCTACGTTGCACCATTTATTATGAAAACTACTTAGAAAATCGAAATTAATCAACTAGACAATTCAATAAAATATTCTCTAAAATGTCACAAAAAAAAAAAAAATACAATGATAATAATAAAAACACTCATCATAGTAAAACTTATATGTTCCTCGTTACCCTCAGAAACTAGTGGAAGTTTTTAAATTTTATTTGTTCAATGATAAAATACAGGATTAATTCGCCGTGGTCTTATCCGGAAGGCTTTCGACCACGATAGACACAAAACAATTGTCTTTTATATTGTTTAAATCACGTTTTCGACTGACAACAGTTCATTCATGGCGTTCTTATTTTCTAATGAAAACGTTATAGAATTTAATCGAATCCATTCAAACATTAAAACTAACAAAATCGAAAGACCTATTATTTTAATACAAAAGTATGAATTTCGTTCGATAAATCGCGATTGATTCGAATGATATTTAAATTTATCGTTTAAGTATTGTCTTCTCATCGTTATTATACTTATAATGCCATTGCTCACCGATAAAAATATTTAGTTTTTCTGTAGGTTTTTTTTATTTTTCGTTTACATGCAAATTTCGTCATTGCTTCTGGGTAGTACACATGTATTTTATAAAATATTATAACACAGTTACTGTTCAGCAAATGTGATAATTTATGTGGCCTAGCACTTTGCAGTAGATACAAAGTAATTTTCTATAATTATGTGAAAATTGTATGTTGTTTCTTGTATTTTTTCAATCGTCAATATTTATTTTTAGATTGTTTTTAAACAGTTCACGTCTATAATATTGAATTTATGTGTAAACTTTACCAGTTAATAATTTAACATTCTTCTTTGAAGATTTCATGCTTAAATAATATTATCAAGCATTTCCTTTATAGAATAAAAACTGGTTATATTCGTGAGCGGGGATTAGGAGTTCGCTGTTAGTTGGTTTGGATTGTTTTGGGTGGAGGACCCGGTGGTCTGAGCCTCTCAGAAAGGAGATTAGTCATAAAAAACATACAACTTTTATTGTGCTCAGTTATGAATTTATGAAACTTCCATGACAGCTCTGCGTGTACCCAAAAACGTTTTCAGTTTAGCCTACATTTTCATAATTTCCACGGAAAGCTTTCAAAAAGTTAAACATTTAAAAATTCTCAAAACCGTGACAAAAATCTTCCTGCATTGTTACTGACCCATTAATTTTGAATTAATTTTCTGGGAAAAATTGAGAAAATAATTATACAAGAAGAAATACAATTTTCGTATGATTGTTTAATTTTTTTAAAAAAACATAAAACTTTTACAAAAAAAAAAAAAATTAAAAATCTATGCTTTATGGTTAGTGAACCATTATTGTCTTTTTGCGTGTATCGCAACTGAAATATGATGTATGCGATTATTCATACGTATATTTTATAAATATTAGGAACGCTTTTTGAGGTAGACTTTTAAAGAAACTAATCAGCTGATTATATTGTATAAAACCGGTGCTTATGTATAGAAATCACAAAAATATCTGTAAAGTTTAAAACAATAAATTATCAAAGCGAAAATTTCGATACAAAACGCGTCATTAGTTGTATACGTATACGTATATTAAACTATGTCGTTTAGACAAAAAAAAAAAAAAATACAAGAATATATTATAAGTTATATATTGTAATTTGAATAGGAATAAATTGCTCATTATAACTCGGACATATACCAGTAAAAATCAATAACTGTGAGAATAATATGCTGCCCGCCATATTAATCATTGTTATAGCCTGTCACAATTACACAACATTTAACAAAAAAAAAAAATAAATAATAATAATTATTATAATAATCCACTCAAATTCGTAAGGGTAAGGGAATGCATTTTCGTATTATTTTTGAAAACTTAATAAAGTAGCACAGTCAAACGTAAATACTGTTCAATCATGTGAGGAATCTAAATCTTAAATTTTATTTTCCATAATACATTTGCATATTTTACAGTTTCTGCTTTTTAGATCATATAAAATATGATCTATAGCAATATGTACCTTTCAAATGCTATAAAAGGTCATATTATATTCATATCTTATCTTATTGTATGCCACGTATTATACACGCGTTTTTTAATTTACATTGTTCAAATTTATATGCACTGATGTTGGATAGCATAGTCGAATATAGACTACCATAAAATAGTTAATTTAGTTAACACACCAGCATTGAGTTTGACCAATAACTCTTTTAATTATCTCAAAACCCAAAGTTTTTATGGAACTACAATAATAAAAAATAAATAATGAATTTATTATATGTCAAGCTTTTAGTATACAATTTTGAATACATTTTTTTAAAGCATATTTTATGTGCATATTTATTTGTTTTTTTACAGCGTATTTGTATTCTAATTAGAGCTAGAAGTCCCTAAGCCTAGTTATAAATAATCGATTAGGCAATTTTAAATTTAAAAAACAATATTTACTCAATCACAGTTTAACATTACTAAACAATAAAGTACATTTTTACTGCATTATTGTCAATATTTAAAAAAGTATATATATATATATATTATAGTAGGTAATGTATATACATTTAAATATAATACAAGGTTCAATCCATCATTCCATCATTGATTAATCAACTTTTATTTTTTGTTTTTCATTAATATTAATTAAATAAATTCAAAAATTCAAACGTAATCTTTTACATAATAATAAAAATAATAAAAAGAAAAAAAAACTATATATTATGTACCTGTTTATCTAAACTAAGTTAAAATTACAATAAAATATATCTACACGTTCTGTTAAAAGCAGTAAGAAGACTTTTTTATTATTAATATAATATACATACATTTAACAAACGACAATAAACTGGGAGATCAACGTAACTTGAGGCACTCATTTCATTTTTGGAAAGCATTAACTTTTTTCGGATTTTGTTTTTAAGAAAATTTGAGAAACAAACAGCTCTAAAATGTTAAATTTCCGTTATTTTTCGTTTCCTTTATTTTGGGGGTTAAAAATCTAGTAGAATAAAAACGGAGTGATATTACGAAAATGTTACATCGAGGTATTGTAACATTTTAAAGCTTTTTTTTCTTGAATTTCCAAAAAAATTAATTCTGAAAAAAGTTTACATTTCCCGAGATAGTGAGTGTCTTATGGAGGATTGAAGATCTTTTTGTATTACTAAATACATAACAGTAACATTAGATATCAATCCTATAGTTATTAGTTATATCAATAAAGCACCACATTCAGTAAATAATTATAATAGTTTACAGTAATCATCATAGAATTTACAATTCCATCAAGTTCCTAATTTTTAAGTACCTACAGCTATAAAAATGGAAAATTCTACCAGTTACATACTCATTATAGCGAAACTATTTTATAATTTTTTTAAAGTATTTTAAAGTATTTTTTTAAAGTTATAGTTATTTATTCAAGTAAAATTCACTTTGTTGGCAGTAAAGCAATCTCTTATAAAAACTGCATAAATTAATCTAATTAATTTAAGATCATTTTGTATATAAATTTCATTTCAATTTACGGTGTAGAGCGTTTGATATAGATGCAAAAGAATATTATCGGATGACCGAAAACAATTCACGTGTTCAGTTATCCATACGAATGAAAAAAAAAATATAAATGTGTATTTTTTAAAACCTTGTAAAAAACTGCACCGTAGCACCATCTATTCGTAAAACATATAAAAATATTACGAATCTATACTCCTAGAAAATTTTTAAATAGACTGCTAAATTTACTCGAAATATAATTGACATACCTACTAATTAAAAAATATGTAATATTTCTGTAAGTACCTATATTATATTATCAGTAAAATGTTAAATAGGAAACTAATTTAACCGTGAATTTGTATCTACAAAGCTATAAAAAAAACACGAGCAGCCTAATTCTGTCTTTAGAGTCTTTTCCCCCAGCCGACTAGTCGCTTATGCAATATTTAATTGTCTTTTACAATTGATCTGAAATAGTTATAGTTTTCTGAGTCTTATTACATTTCAGTTTTAAGCGATATTTAAAACCCGATATTTACTATCAAAACATGAAATTTAAGCGTATAGATGATCGGGAATAAGGGTGTTAAAAGTTAAAGCGACCAAAAAGCACATCCCTAATACTTACTGTCTATAAGGTGTACATAGCTAAAAATAATACAATTTTCTCCCATAATACTCCGATGAAATCTAAACTGAAATTCAACCAACATTTTATTTCTTTATTCTGCCTTATAAAACAACTATAATTCCCGAGTTTCAACTCATTTGGTCCAAAGAGAGCATCTAAAAGTGTCCAAAACTAGCGGTAAAAAGATTTATGTACAATATACATATATGTATACACAGAATGATTCAACAAGCATGCTCACCCCATGTTTGTCGTTAAATTTTGCATATCATATTTAAATTCTGGTTTTTGGAATTTTTAAGTGTAGTTATACTTAGATTTTGCACAACATTTAATGAGTATCCTGTGGACATCCGTGAAGATGATCTTCCCCCCACTTTGTCCCACTAGAGACCTCAAACTAGTATTAATATTTTGTAATTAATTTGTTTAAATTTGTTTGGTAGTTTTTGGAATTTGCATATCTTTGGTTTTTTCGGAAAATGTTTTGTAATGCATAAACGTCGTGGCGGCGCGGAGGGCAGTGTTTGAATAATGTACTAACCAATATTCCCTACTAATGAAATAAAATATTTACCCACACTCGTATGTAATCTGAACAGTACTAGAATTATTGTACTACAAAAACTAAAATATAATAAAAATATGAAATATATCATTTCTCAAACCAATTTATCTGCGTTACGACTAAGCGTAGGAATAAATGACTAAATTATTTTAAACAATTCAAAAAATTAATACTAAGTATATTGATAACTTACAAGTTAAAACTCATAAACTGTAATTCCGATATTTATGTTATGTAAATAGACATTTTTAGAAACAATTTTTAGAATTCTCTGTCCGTATCTTTGTTTAAATGGGGCTAGGGTTGAAAAACAAAAGTATATACTTACTTATTATTAATTAATATGTATAAAAATTTAAAATAATATCTAAAAGGATTTCTTAATAATTGAAGAAAAAAGACAAATTCTCCGAGAAAATCGCTGATTCGTGATAAATGGATCGCCCTGTATATATCTGTATATTTATCGGCAGTATAATATTTTTTGGCGTTATTAAAATTTGACAAAATCTAAAATTTTATTAAAATTATTATTATTTGATGTATTCATATTATATATACATATTCTATGTTTAGAAGAAATTATTACTATAAAATATTATATTCTATGTCTTCGAGGAATTCAATAATAGATGTGTAGAAGTTTCATAATCAACATTTAAAATATTACATTTATTATGAATTTTGATATAACCTTGATGCAATTTTTAAGTTATATTTTAGTTGTGTTATTTTATCATTGAATCTTTAAAATTATTTTACCAAAACGTGTAATTTCTGTTATTAGTCAATTAGATACTTAATTTATATATGCACTGCAGCTGTGACGGTCTTTATAAGTATGTTGAGAACTGCAGTATATAACAGAGTGGTTTTTGTATTGCACGACCCAGCGATTATCTATATACGATAATATATATATATTTTTTTTAATAAATTTTATTGCGGGGTATTTTTCCAAACGAAATATAATCGATATTTTTCAATTCGTATCATTATTCTTTATACTTACTTTTCTAAAAATGATTATATAATAATATGCATAACTCGATAACGCATTAATTTATCCGATATAGAAATTTCGAGTTTAAGCCGGAAGAGCGTATAATAAGAAGAGTCTTCTTCTCAATCACCTTTACCCCGACTATTCGGCGTCGGCCACCCTTATCTTAAACTTTTATTTCATCCACATCATCCTCGTATACACTGGCTGCTGTTATTGTGTTATTAGCTGCTGATTCACAAACGATTTTCAAACAATTTTATAATTCTACAACATGCATAATATATAATTATTTTTTCATGCAATATTGTCCCATTTATGAAAATCTAATTATAATATAATTTATTACCTATACTACTTAATACAATGCGATTGATTGTGTAGTTTTGTGTGTTACTGAAATTATGACGCCCGTGACACAGGGTTCAAAAACGACTGTCTATAGGTATTGTTTTATTCAAACGCAAATAATATAAGTACACAATTATTTACATATTGTCTACAAACAAGATAGGCAGCTCTGGATGTGATTTATACCATTTTATTGTGTATATACGGTTATTCGTGTCGAAACGTGCGAATCGGATAATCCGTTGGTAATCCGCTGATTGATTATTGCAGTTCTTGTTTTTTTCATGTCGGGTATACCAACGTTGTCAGTTTTTGCCATTTTAATCATTAATATAGTTAAACACTACTGCAGCTGAAATTTCCGTTGAGGGTATTATAAACTCTTTTTCGGTCAGTATTGATTCTCCGAAATGATCACACTGCAGGTGCCATCAGGGCCGGATTAAGTCCAAGTCTCTAAAGTCCTAAACATATTTTATTTTATAGTATCTTATTCTAAGGTCTTCCAACAAGAAAAATGTTCACAGATCAGTTGAAAACCCAATTTTTCATGTTCCAAAGACATTTTTTTCAAAGTTATCGGTTTTGAAAAACCCCAATGTTTCGATATTCTCGATATCGGTTTATGTCGATACTCAATTCTGGTTAAAATACTCCGATTTGTTCATGTTATCTCTTAAAAGATGAATATTTTTTGTTAGATATAGTTCTCGTACTGTATTTAAAATAATTTGTTTAGTATTTCGAATACTTGATTAAAAAGTTGTTTTTTATTAATTTTTTTTTGTTAACACGCTGTGAAGAGTATAAACTTTATACAATTTTTTTTCGTGTTACACGAGGAAATATAATTTCAATTATTAGTCAAACTAGTTTTAAGCCTGCACCTACTCATAATACACTTAAAATTTTATTATAAATCTGTTTCCGATTTTTCATAAAATAATAATAATTACGTTTATATACGCATTATTTTTGGTATATAAATATCTACGTTTGGTAAACAACTTATTTATACCGAATTCCTAATACTCTTGGCCGGTCACTTCCTATCTCCCCGCGGGCAAGGACGTATTATATAGTATAACCTTATAATATTATTTATGTAAATATACCTACTTAGTTGTAGGTTATAATGTAGGAAAGTATATTCATATAAGGTATTTATAAAATTGTATTTTATGTGAATTATTAGTGAAAAACTATATAAATTATCAATCAAATGAACGGAATAAAAAAAGTGTACATTATTTACGTGCATGTAAATACCTACCTATAACTAACTTAACCTACCTTTGAAGACGTGCGGTATTCGCGATGGCATTCACATGTATATATGCAAATAATATAAACTACAACGCAGTTCACAAAATTTCAATAGACATTATATAGTAACCTCGTACAGAGATGATAATGAATCATCTATGTTCACTATAGTTTTCTATGTATTAGTTATTTTTGTATGTATTTTACAGATTCTGAGACTAGTGAAGAGGTTATATTAAATTGACTAAGATGTTTTCGGTTAGTAAAAATGCTGCGATTTTCATATGTCGAGTACCTTAAAAAAAATATGGATTTTCAAGCTAAAAAAAAAAAAAAAAAACATTGGCAACAAATGACGATTCATCAGTTGTATTCTGGTTGATTTGTGGGCTACTTAGGCTTCAAGGAAATAAAACACAATACTACCTATATAACTCTATCGTTTACCGAGATCCGCTCAGAATTTTCTGACTAGTACATTGCGGATCAGTCTTCCATCAGCTCGCCACACATGCCCATTCCATTCATTTTCCTTTGTGATGCTTTCTTATCATTAAATTGCACACTTACTCACGTAAATTAATTGTACAGATTATTATTATTATTATACTATTATATTATTATTATTTACAAACTTTTTCCGACATTTTCATCTATTGGTACGTTTTAAATTTTATATAATCCGTCTGGTGCAGTTATATATATTATTATATCCCCAACTGTAATTTGTTATAAAACACGGACTGTTTCCTCTGCGATTTTATCGAATAATAATTTTCGGTAAAATGAAAACCATAAGAACAAATATAAACGAGTTTAACATTATGTATGTGTATACAATATATAGCTAGGTTCCAAACGTATAATAAATTGAATTTATTTAATGCATTATTTTGTATACATATCAAAAAAGAAAAAAAAAAGTTTATTGCTTATACATACAATTGCTGTTGGTGTATGCGTTGATCTTCAGAGTAAGATAATCGAAATTTATGAGATATACTCGTGTATGTTTAATGTATAATGTACTTAAACAATACGAGATCTGTTTTATAGAATCGTGTATATTTACTCGCATACAGGGTTTTATTTCCAAGAATCGAGACTCGATCGATCGAGGGGGGAAAAAATGGCAAAATGCAGGATATTTTTTTGCAAGGTATCATCTAAAGAATATATAATATACGTGTATTATTACGTGCATGAATCATCATACAGTTCATATAGGTAAGCGGTCTATTATTAAATACTTGTACATACCTATAGATTTATTGTGAAATATAATACTTGAAAAATGTACGTGGTCGAAATATGTCCGGAGTAATTTATTATTATCATTACTATTATAAGTAACGTACGTCCGTTCGTAAACTCTTTGTTAGCGACCATGAATTCGTATATATAATATAATATTACATAAACGTTTTGTTTTGCGATGTTCCGTGTCTGTGTACACGCGTAACCCAATTGTTCGGTTTATAATACACATAATAATATTATAGGTATACTATATTGTACATTATGTGTCACACAATTTGGAAAAGATACATATTTTATATGTATATATATATTATATAGAAACCATTGCATACCTATGCATAATAACAATGTACATTTTTATAAAGCTGCCCCCCCCCTCGTGGACGTTAAATTGAACGCGATATAATACAATATAATGTTCATGTTCATGTTGAAATTATTATAATCTATAAGTCTTTGGAAACAATGACGCATTATTTTGGACATTAAATTTTGACTTTGACGAGTGGAACTCAACATTACAATTCAAACACTACGTCGTCGTGTTTCTGTAGTATTTTTCATTTTTAGTTACTATCAAGTAATTTTGATTTCGAACGGTGAACGAGGATGAGCTGCTATATGTTTAAGAGTTTGACGTAGTAACATTTAAGATGCAAACAAACGCGTATACTTTATACACAGTGTAATGATGTCGTTTTTTGAATTCCCAATTTAAAACCCGGAATATTGCGAAAAGCCCACACTCTGCAAAAACTGTCGTGTTATTTGTTGCATTCAAATTTGAAATAACAACTCGTAAATATATATATATATATATAATACTTTTATATATAAGAATCGAATATTGTTGCCAACTAGGGAAAACAAAGCATTTTCAATCACGTGGGATTCGGTTAAATTTAAAAAATCGTTTTACTAGCTAAAAATTTGTGTAGATTCATTTTGTATTGAATATTGTTTATTTAACATTGTAATAATTCTAAAACAAAAAAAAATAGAGCAAAAGATAAAAAAAAATGTTTCTTGAAACACGATGTCGGTAATTGACCGAAAGGACTTTGGTAATAGGTGTAGGTAAAAATGACGAAAATGTAATTAGGTCAATTCTTTTGATTTTAAATTATCTATATTTTTTAAATTTAATATATTTTATTAAATAATGCGGAAATAACGTAAAATGCGTTTGGCATTTTCGTGAATCTTCATTTCGTTTTGTATTACTTATTTCTTTATTACAAAACTTCGTGCATCTTTATAATGTAGTGTATAATTTTGCTTTCTAATCACCATTAAATTTTATTGTTCGGGTTTACTTTTTATTTAAATCTCGAACGAACTTCCTGTAATATTTTTAGGTTCGATTTTTTGCACAATGCGATACAACGACAGTCTATTCGTTTTGGTGCACAGCTCTGTTTAATAAAATGAATACATTTTTTTCATCTTACCAATACTGATTTACTTCCAGCGTATGCTAAATATTATTGTTCTGGACGCGTATTATACTTAGTCTTGTATTTTTACGGTTCGTGACTTCGTGATCTTCGTTATACACTGCAATCGTTAAATTATACGTATATACCCACCAAATTACATTTTATAAATTTTGATGATGCGATGATGCTTTCTATTAAAAACATTTTGAATTAATGATCGATATAATGAATGACTACTAGGAATACTCTTTAGAAAAGTCGAGGCATAAATGTGGACTGCTGTATCGTTAAATGTTATTACATATATATAGATAAAGTGTTAATAATAATATACGAACAACTTAGTAATTTAATGACTATATTTACTTTAATAATTATAGCCACTTGCCTCGGTTATTCACTTACTCCATCTGACCTTATTTATTTTCTGTCTATACACCTTGTATATTATATTATATTGTATTCCTCTGTCCATTTTACAAATCAATTTGAGAAACATATTACAATAACTTAACTCTGCTGAAGTTATTTTTAAATCAATATTGGTAAACATAATTATAATATAATAACGAGATGAGAGCTGCTCCGTGGGAAATTATTGTATATCCAAATTTGTAATATTAAAATTCATTTTCCTATATAATATGTATAATTTTGTTTTGTTTTGACGAACCAAAAACCGACTTGATATCACACCCGAGTATAATATAATTAATTTATCCAAGGACATAGATGTTGTGATCGAATATTGTCAACCGATCTGTGACTATAGGCTTTTTCAATATAATCGTGGTTTTTAAATAAATGTTTCTATAAAATGTATAGTTTATTTAGTATTTATACATGCAAAGGTATATAATGAATGTTAGGGGAAATTGATCCTGTCTAGGCAATTTGAATCACGAATATAAACTAATTAATTAAGCAATTTTGAATTATTTCTTATTTGTTATATTATGAATGTTAAAAAAAATTATATTATACCTAATTAAAGATATCATTACAGCTAAAAATCTGTCTGTTTTGAAATACACCGTATAAACGTTTTATTATCTCCGTACTATTTTTAAATAAAATTTTTATACCCGATTTACCCATATCAGATATTAAAATATTCGAGCTATGTTGATACAGATAGTCAGTCAACAACGCCTATTTAATATTTCCGATTAAACAGTCTAGTTTTCGTGATTTACAAAACACTTCGTAGTCCGTACGTGTACAATAATAATTCAACGGCAGTTTACGATTACGAAAGGTTTGCACAGATCGTCAATGTACTTGATATTTCAGTTTCATTGCAAGAAGTATCTCGTGCTTTCTCTAATTAGGAGGACAAGAATACAATCGATGCACTTGTACATAGCTTTGTGAAACTTAGAAATGCAAATGTAGAAAAGCAGACAGACTTTGCAATTCTAAGTGCCATTCAAGTAAACCATATACAAATATATAGGTAATAATACAATTCTAAATAAATGATACCTAAGTAAAAGTAAAAGTAAAAGTACTTATTTCGTAGGGGTATCTGAACTCGGGCACCTCCTAAATCAGGCCCTGTATTCTATTATATATAATAATATTTAAATAACAATACGTTTTTGATCGAAGAAAAATATTATCAGTGAACAATTAATATTTTTGAATAATGTAATAATTTAAGAAAACGCAGGTGCTAACTATAGTTTAGCAATTTAGCATATATAATTCTATTAAATAATAATTATTATTTGAATATTATTTTTTAGCTAGTAAATTACTACAATTCAACGGTTTCATAACTGGTGAGAATATTTTTCATTATTTATTAAACGTTTAAATCAAATAATATATTCCAAAAAAAGGTCAAAAAAATAAGTTTGAAAGAACATTATTTTATAGATGAAAATGGCTACTGCCTTCATAAAAATTATTTTCGATGACCGTTGGTTGTATAAGTATTATATAATATTAATATTACAGGGGGAATTGTAACAGTACGATGGGGTACTATTATTATTTTTTTTTTTAAACATTGTCCTTGAACGAGTTCAAGATCAATATAAATTTCCATTATTATTATTATTACACACACGTCTCATAATTTTTATAAGTGATGCGTAAATTATAAATTACTTCTTATAGACCGAAATATTCGATATCATTTGAAATTTTTTTTTTTAATCTTGGCTCACATAGGTCTAGTAAGTTAATTTACAAGGTTATCTCAAGTATCGAAGGATAACTGTTGTTTTTCTGTGCAGTCTTACATTCGTTATCAATATCCCGCACTTCGGAATGGCCTCGATGTAGGTAATAGGAGAAATATTTTATTTTGCTTCTGTCTAATAAAGTTGTATCACTTTAAATGTCATATTATACACCATTATATCTCCGTATTGATGAATAAAAAACACGCATAACAAATACAATAAAGTATTTGATAACAGAATTATTATTTGAGAAATCGGAATGCGCGATGTTCTGTAGTAGTGAATCAAGTTGTATTCATATAGGTAGATATTAGAATTAGGTATTGTTTCAATGGCAAAACATTATTTTAGATTGTTATTGTCAAATTTCCTCCGAAAATAGAGACAATTGCTATTGTATTGTGTCTGTTATTAAAATAAACAGTACATATTTTTTTATCACGAACCAGTAATTTTTCCGGTGGATTTTAAGTGAATTTTATTTCTGTTTTTTTTTTTTATTATCATCATGTAGTCTCGTACAAGCTTTATTTTAAAATCATTTTAAATTATTCACCCTTTTTATATATACTTTTGGTTTTCAAATAGGAACCACCCTACTGAACACGGATTCGAATAGATTTTTAATAAGAATAGATCTAGAACATTTGTCTAGATTTTTTAATATGCATTACACTAATATCAAATTTACCGTTTATGAATTATAACCGTTTAAAGTTTAGACCGGAGCGGTAGGGATGGGCAATAAATTGCATATCTATTTTTAAATGATAAATGAATATCTTTCCTACTTCCTCGGTCTAAACTTTTAATGGTTATAATTCATAAGCGGTAAATTTGATTTAGTGTAATAAAAATATTCTTTATTCGAATCTGTGTTCAAAAAAGAAGGTTCCTATTTAAAAAATAAAAGTGAATACTTATTTAAGGTATATAAAGAAAGGATGTAAAATTAAAATGGTTTTAAAATAAAGCTTAAACGACTCTACAACGATTAACAAATAAGCCGAATACTAATTCACTTAAAATCCACTGAGAAAATTGCTGGTTCATGATAAAACAATCACCTTGTATATATTTCTATTTTTCCCACTACTTTTGGACAGTTATAGCAACTAAATGAACTAAAACTCAGCAATGTTGCGGGAGAATGGAATTCTTTTAGATTTGAATACCTTTACAGACTGTCCACCCCTCAAATAAAGCCCGGGTGATAAAATTTTGGTATATGCATAGCGTATATTTAAAGGATGTGTCTTTTAGATCGTTTCAACTTTCAAACCCTGCCCTTAACATTACCATTTTTATGCTCACATTTTAACATTTTTTTTTTTTTATGAGTAAGAACTAATTTGTAGGTATACTATACTATAGTACGAGTACTATTGTAGTAGGTATTGGATTATTAATTGTATAATAAAGAAATAGCTGGGAGGAAATTTCGGCTCCATAGTGACGGAGCTATCCGTTGCTCATGGGTGGTTTTTTAATTTTTAATTTTAACTTTCGGTGGTATTGTAATTTGGTTTTTATTTTTAAATTTTTACACCGCATAATATAGTCGGGGGGGGGGGACGATGAGTGACATAGTTGTACCTACTAACGTAACATATGACGTATAATTAGTATGTATTTTGTAAAATGGAAAAGTCAAATATAATAATAATTGTTTCCCAACATGTTCTTGTATGTATTACGTGTGAAATATTCGGATTACATAATATATATAATAATAATATAAACGGTTAAGTAAGGTCTGTGTAGAAAATTGGCAGCGTTACCGCGGCATAAGCGCGCAAGCTCAACAACAAGCTCGTATCATTAAAAATATTTATATTTTTTTTTTTTTTGTTAAGTATTGAATTTCATTCGATCTCATTAGGACCACTGTCACAATTAAATTAAATATTGTTCGACTTAAATACAAATCAGACATAGACCTGTTCCGCTTATATATCATAGTAGTGGGTATACCTATTTAATATTTTTGTGAACGGACTAACAATAAACTATTATAATCTTATATCTTATCGAAATAGTCCAATGTTGGGAGGAGAATCTCTGGGTAATTGAGTTTTGATCATTTGTTTTTATCAATTGTTACGATACCTTATTATTATAAACAAAACAATACCTACGCACGAAGAGTTTTTTTAATTATTTTATTCACATTCAAAATAGATATTTATTTTTTTTTATATGCCTACACAGATAATATACGATGCGATCTCTCCGTAAGAAATATTTGTGAACGAATTTGTATTTATTTTGGATTACGAGCGTAGCGATGAATTACATATTGGTTTTAGTGTTTTAGTATATTATTTATTACTGTGATGTGTGATTTTTATTTTCTGTGTTTATTGATTCAGAAATGTTGTCACAATCAAAAAACGTCAAGAAAGCTTTTTTTTTTTGTAGAATATTGGATTTATTTGGTGCGTTAAGGTTTACTGTACTGTACTGCGACCATAGTAATTTCTATTATTTTCAATTTTGTTTTTATTGTAAATAAAATAAAAATTGTTCACTTATAAAAATAATCGGAAAACCTGAAAGTATATATATTAATATTATATATTATATTATTTATTAACATTATTACCTGATCCTTTTTAGACGTGGTTACATTTTTAAAAAATTCTAGCAATTTATAAATTATTTTTAATAATTTAAAATGTTCTAGATTTATTTAGTTTCATTGGGATAAACATTTTTAGGAATTTCAAAAATGCTTATTGTAAAAAAATGTATATAGAGTTCAACGTAATTTGTTCTTTAGGTAATATAAAAATGTCGAAAATTCGTATTCAGAATAATAATTTATTTTTTTTGCATTTTTCGTGATTTAAATTTGCTCTCAAAGTTATTTAAACTATTTGAATAGGTATAATAGTTTTTCTTTTATTTATCATTAGCAGAGCCATGTCAAGTAATTCAGTGCCCCGTGGCAACATTTTTTCGCGTCCCTTTTCTACGATTTAACCACTAATTATTTTCTTATTATATTGATCTCTACGGGACACCATATTACCACACACCACGAAAACTAACCAAATATATTATGCATTATACATAATTGTTAATTTGTGTTAGTTAAAAATATTTATAACAAACTAATCATAAACATAATTAACATATAAAAATACCAAACAATAATTTATAATTTTTTCTTGCTTTATCTTTGGCTTATACACTTCCATTTAAGTCTTGAAACACAAATTTTCAGTTCCTGGACACACCCAGATGGAGTATGACTCTGATCCAGCTCAAAGTGAAAAAAAAAGAAGCATTTTGATTCTCCTATTTATCATCCCCATGACTGGGTTCAATTCATAAGAATGACAGGAAAAAAAACTTCATTTAAAGTAATATAAATGGAAAAATAAGATTTCAAAGATATTGGAAATATTTACAAATCGAATACATTAATGATAAAATACAAAATGAAAATGGCGATACTATTGTGTGGGGATCAATTTAATGATTTAAATTTGAGAAAAAATATTCATTTTAAGTATACTACAATAACACTGTTTTTAGTAGTTTATAGAAACTCCCATATAATAAAATATTAAAACCAGTTTTCCGTCGAGCAAGGCTTAGGTTATATTCACCTTCAAAGTGAGAGTGAATACAACTATTGAAAACCAAACAATTCCTACTTATAATGAAAACACTAAACATTTTAATATAAAAAAAGAAAGATTTACTGTCTTTGTTAAAATATATACCATGGTTTTAAAATAAACAACTCCTAATATATTATATTAGGAGCTGTTTATATAGTTCTCATAATTATTAATATATTGAGTAAAAAGTATTGTACCTATTTCAACAAAATTTTGCTCAAAAGAAAAACTTAGTCATGTGTGATAACGATAAGGAACAAGTCAATTTAAAATTATCTAAACATAATTAATCATGCGCTTAAGGGAATCAGTCCAAAGTTAATAAAATAATTTAAGTTTAAAGAAAATCCATGTTAGAAGAACCAATTGAAAAATAAATGTCAAAAATATTGATTAATAATTGTAATTTTTGAATATTATAGGCAGTTTTTTTTTAGTTGTCTTAAAATAGTGTTTTTCTGATTTTTTGATTTTTTTGTCCGTCAATAACTTTTCTACTAGAAATCTTCAAATTTAGCATCTTTTCTGAAAGAAATTTTTTTCTAATTGTTGCATTGAAATGGTAATTTTTCTTGTGGTTTTCTTAACAATTGGGGAAAACACGTAGGAAAAACGGGAAAATGTACGATAATACGGTTTCATTATTTTTAATTTTTGTTTTCAAATCGTGGACTCAGGTACGAAGAAGAACCGTATTGAATATGTAAGTTTGTATGCTATCGTATAAATTTCATATTTTACAAACACTCATAACGATGCGTATTTCTAAACCATATCGCACAATATTATATTGTTATATGTGACGCTTTTACAGTTATTCTTATACATTTTATCTATTGATAGTTTTAAATATATATTTTTTTAAATGTATATATAATATCTGAATATCTGAATAATAAGAAATCGTCTCAATATTATTATATACATCGATACGTATATTTCTTTTCTTTTTTTTTCTCTAATATTCAAACTCATGAATTATATTGTTTTTTTTTCTATTCTACTTATCGAAAAAAAAATGTTAAAATAACTGAATATAATTATAAGAGATCGGAATTATTTTCTTTGAATTTTAAATAGCATTGCGTCATTGTTTTTGTGACCACTATATTATTATTATTATTCTATTAGAGCTGTAATGGTAGTGCATAGTTTAACATACTCAATCAATCAATCAATATCGATCTTTCGAATTTATTTTGCTGTACCAAAAATAAATATATACATAAATTAATTAATAACAAGTACTTACTTATATGTTAATACTTTTTTGAAAATATAATTTTTAGAAGTAAATAGCAATTTAATTTTACAATATAATTTGCTCTCGTTGAATAATAATAAGTTAAACGACATCGTTCTAATCAAATAAATACCTACATGTAAGTACCTACTTATCAAATTTAAACACTTTATATTTATACGCAAGATATTTTTTATTTTTGTTTTAGATAATTAATATAAACTAATAGTTGTACATAAATAGTTAACATTATACTCATATTACTAGCTATCGCAATTAATATGATATGTATTACGGGTTGTTAATATTGACGTAAAATACATAATATTAAAATTGATTATTTACTATTATTTCATGAATGAATAGAACGTTGATCGTTTAGAAAAATTCAACCATCAGAAAAATCTTGCGAGAACTATTATTTATTATTAGAAATATTCAAATTTAACGGGTAGATATGCATTAGAATTTTGGTATTTCTTCTTTGTATAGCCATATGTTGTTCTTATTATAATGCGTGCAAGAAACAATACAAAATAACGTATGTTTTTTATCGGTCAACAAAATTTGACTGCAGAGGCTATTTATTAAATCTACACACCTATATACTATGTGAATGTTTATCATTATCACTTAAAAGTTTATGACTTATGAGTACTACAGTATTATAAAATATGATAAAACGAAGAGCTTTTATATTATAGGTATTTATAAATATTGAAGTGTGTCGTGAATAGGATATTGGTTTTAAAGAAATTGTGTGCACATATTGCGAAATATTATGAAAATGCTCCGGATATATAACGTACCTAATTGTAATAATGTACATGTGGAATAATTTAAAATTTATTGATTTTTCAGATAATTCCGTTATTTCAATATTTTGTAAAAATATTTTAATGGTAAGCAGTCAAAGAATATAATAAAGTTAAACTTCGATAGTCTATTATAATATATTTTGTCCTTGGGAAAATAAATAACCTTAAGTCAATTATTTATAGTTTTCAACATAAACAAATTTAATTTCGAAAATTTCCAAATGAATATTGACTAAATTTTTTAATGGCTAAATCACTAAATGGCCTATAATCTAAATACAAGCATTCTAAATAGCTTAAGCAATATAATTGTATTTACGTTTTTTTTTTCTAACATAAAATAGTCATAGTGATTTTAAGTATTTTAATATTCGGTACAACAAGTATTAGAATTTAAGTATTTTAATATTCGGTGCAAGTGTTAGAATATGCATACACTTATGCGATTTACACCAACAAATAAAAGCCAAAGGGGAAAAATTACATTAGGCACTATTATAAAAAAGAAATGCCAAAAATTGACTGGTGCCTCTTTTCCCTGGAGCCAAAGATATACACATGTATAGTACTATACGATTTTTCCGTTCATTCATAAACTATAATATTTTAGTATCAATGATTATTAAAGTATTAGGTACATAAAATAATAAATAACCTTCGAAGATATACAGCCAAATCTCAATATTTGTTAGTTTTAGCGCAAATAACACCTAATAATATGTTATTGACCTAAGGATTATAATATCGTATAATAATCAGAAATTATAAATATTATTATTCTAAACTTTTATTGCCCGGTAAATATTTATCTTTTTATTGTTATATAATAACATGAGTATCGTCGTTCTCTATTTAAATATTTATATTCTTTTTATAATATTTAATAAATATTATGTTACGAATTAATTACATTGAACTTTTATTTTATTGATGTATATACGTGAATATATATTCAAGAGAATACATCATGTACATTTTTATTGTCTTTATGTGTCGTAACTGTTTCGTTGATTCATTCAAAGCCATACGAAATAAGTAATTAATAATTTTTTCGTAGTTAGTTAATAATATTTGTTTAGTTATAATATATTTTAACTGTTGATTTTAATTAAACAATTGCACTTTTTAATTTTATATTTAGCCGTGGAAACTTGAAATTTAATTATTATTACTTCGATAAAGTACTTTAGTAAAAATCCAATCGTTTTTCTAATTTCTTTTTTCGCTAAATAAACTGTAGTCGAAGTCGATTTAAACTACTTCCCAGTAGGTTGTGTTGGGAAGAACGTGATCATTCTATAGTCTTTCACTAAAATGTATATACAAGGTTGGGCAAAATACAAGATACACCATACTAGATACATTGATTTTCAGTAACTAAATACAATACATACTAGATACTTATGTAATAATTATTGCAATATAAGATACTTGATACCTATACAGTTACATTATAATTCAAATATTAATTACACTTTTCACGCATGTAATATCTTAAAAGACACGGTGTTTATTTATTTTAAAATTCCCCAACAATCTCCCCCCTCATTTTCATACATTAATTAAATATTCATTGTATTTTTCGAAGAGCCTGGGGACAGGGGAGAAATGAGTCAGCTTGTCCCTCCTTCCGATTCCTATAGACAAGATGTACTTCAAATTAGATACGTTCCAAAATTGTATCACAATATAAAATACAATTGTATTTAAGGTTTGTATTAAGATACGCTTATCAAATATACTACCAAACCTTGCCTATACAGAGTGATCCATTTAAGTGTGTACACTCGATGTCTCGGAAAGTATTTACTTTTTTCAATATTTTTTTTGAACATTTTAGAAACAAATTGTTCTAAAATCTAAAATGCGCGGCATTCTAATAATACATCACAACTCTCCCTCGACCCAAACTTAAAAGTAGAATATTTCGTTTAAGAATTGACGGAAATCAAATAATTTAGCATCAAAAATTATTTTTAGCTAATACATCTATTTATGGAATTTTAAATATAGGTTGACATTTGAAAATAAAAGTAGGTAATTGTTTTACTCCCGAAAAATAGGGTGATAAAAATAACGTTAAATTTAAATTTTTTTAAATTAAAAAAAAAAAGAAGAAAGTAAATTCATACTCTCCGAGATATTGAATGTACCACTTAAATGGATCATCCTGTATATAGACTATCATTTTGATTGATACCATTCGGTGAAACCACTGACCACAGATAACTTCTTATTATAACTATGTTATGTAGTTTGTATATACCATAATTTTTGTTAAAACTAATCTTCGAAAACCAACCCACCACGAATACATGCACATTAAAAAGTCTTTACCGTGACCCGATCACTTTGTCTGCACGCATCGTTGGCAATGAATTCTTAGTGTTTTATTTAATTAGTGTTACTATTAGTAGGTAGGTAAGTTGTTATTAAATTTAGGTATGTAGGTACATATTTTTTTTTAACATTATCGTTTATCTCTCGTGTACACAAATAACATAGAGATATCTTATCCTTTTTCAACCTTTTAGTCGAAAGTATTTTTTTTTACCGCTTTTATAGCTCACCGAGCTAAAACAAATATATAACAAGAATATGTATAGTGATATTCAAATCAAATTACATACTATAGGTACACTTCAGTAAACAACACTACGCGAATTTATTATTAACGAAGGCGGGTGTTTGTAGAAAAAAAATATATCCGAGTCATTTCATTTAAAGACTACGTAAAAATAAAATATTCAGAGTTATTATAATATGCAAACATCAGTTAACGTATACCTACTTGGTCGGACTGTTATTAAAATCGTGTAAACTTTTGCAAGCTATGTAAAATACTTAAACACTCGTTATTATTTTATTTTTCCTCGTTATTTCAAAAATGTATGTATTCGTTTTATATTCTGAACCAGACTCGAGAAAATGATATTATGCTGTACATCCGTAGTTGTAGCTTGTATAGGCATCTGGAAAATAATGTAATGTAAAGTCGTTTTAATTTTCGTGGTCATTAACGCTCGATGGAAATTTATAATGTCAGCGATCTCCAGCAGTTTAACCGAATTCCAGACAGATTGCATGTATCGTCGAAAATCGTTCTTTCACGGCGATTGTTGCTGTTTTAAATATAAATACCTTCTCTTTCTATATAATATATTATTACAATACTTGTAGCACCGTTTTAAAACGGTATCGCGTACGGTATAATAATTTACTATAGATAGCTATATAATATTGTAATACAATGTCAAGGCGGTGATATTGGCCGACATAAGATGATTGATTATAATATAACATTCGATGAAACCAGCAAATAACCGCAAAGTACGAGGAGACGATGCAAAATAAATTAATATTATACAAACAAAAGTGGATTTGAGGGAGAGGTGATGGAAAAATTACCCCTTCCCCCTTAGAATTTTTTTTTATTACCTACTGGAACTCATAGGTAATAAAGATATGGATAGAATATTCTTATATTATTAATGTTTCATGATTTATTTATGAAATGAGACATTTGTTTTTTTTTTTTTTTTTTTATATAGCTTTTTATCTATGGTGATAACTGATAAGTCTCTTCTGTATTTTCGGCTCACCGGAAATATCGCCCAACAAAAAAAAAAAATGGCCCATCCATTTCTGCATTATTATCTATGTTCAGAGGCGCAAACCATTTCAAATAACGTGGAGGCAAATATAAGTTACCAAAATACCCGCTCATCATTGGGAAAAAAAAATTAACTCACTTCACTATCATATACATCCATTAACTCGATTTCCTCAATAATCATAAACAATAATTACCTACATGCGGAATGTATGACGACGATGATGGCTTATATCACAATATAATATTAATATAGGTATGTGAAATGGTAGAAACTCAAAATAATATCGAAGCATGTATCATGTTATTGTAAAATATAAATAAACGCGTTCCACAGTTATACACAGAGATTAATCCTTAATGGTATCAATGATCGCCAGAATTTTTTGAAAATTTAAATCTAGAAAAACCAAATTGAAAATAATAAATCGTAAACTTCCCATTTTTCTTATATTTTTCGCTGATTTTTCCAATCATTATGAAAACTGCTTGGAAAATAACCTCTCAAAAGAACCAATTAGATGCAAAATTCTATAAAAACGTTTTCTTGGTTTTTTGGTTAGAGCAAGATTTCTAATAGTAAAGAAATGGAATAAAATAAAATAAGAATAGAATTTTATTAATAATTATATTATGTTCTTTATTAACAATGGGTTTTACTAAAATATTTATAGTACCTATATTTGAATTCAAACTCATCGATTAAGTCGAGCCGTCGTGCACTATTCATACATTTATATACAAGTATCACCTGTATTAAACCTATCGAATATCTTGGAGCTTAAGTACTAAGTCAATGAGTGTGAATAATTAATATACTTATTCTAAAAAACCGTCTGTTTGAACAGTTCCAATTCGATTATTAGTGCTGCACACCGAGTGGGTAAATATTATTGAAATCCCGTACTTAATTATTTTTCGCAGATTATACCGAATACCATTTAAAAGGCTTTCATCGGTCGTGTGAAAATAATTAATTTACATACTTATAGTTCGTATATTAATAATCGATTTTTCGAAGGTGATCATAAGTACATGACTTTTATAACTCGATCAACGTGAATCCTGCAGCGTCATTGTAATTATGTTTAACCGCATTTTAACTTCTAAATTGCGATTTGAATCGTATTGTGCGTCATATGAAGTGATAATTGTAAAACTTGATTTTCGTTCAAAATTGTCACCAGGTTCCGTGACTGTTGAGTTTTGAGTGTTTTGACCGGGAGAGCCTCTTGGATCATGTTTATTTATATTTTGGTAGGACTCAAGTCCCTCCCATCAAGTCGATATTCCACAACTACAATAATGTAGTTTAGTTACTAATACTCATTAGTTTTGATTTATTATCATTTCTATCACTATACGCTACTGTATAATAATCAAAGTCGTTGCGAAATACTACTATACGTTTATATAGTATCAAGCTCGGTATCCTCGATAAAAATGTTTTAAATATTTGTTTGGCATACGTCATATATGTACGAGTTCATGCAGCCGCGGTAATAAAACTATAATCCACAGATAAAAAAAAAACCACAAATAGCAAAAACACATTACGTGAGAATTATTAAAAAACGAGGCATTGATATAATAATATTATTAAACGACACGTTATATTATAATTGCATAGCAGTGCACGGTGGTAAAATGTATAACTACATCTATTTTTTTTTCTTCTTTTCTAATGCTCTATACTATAGAATGTATAGTGTATTATTTTTACGAACAGTCGAAAGATTGTTAAGATTGTGGCAGTGACGTAATTCGAATTTTGTCAACGAGGGAGAAATTTAATTATTGTAAAATTTGTTGTAGTAGTATTTATTTGTACTAATTAGGTCTATGAATTTAACGCACTATAAAATGTTAATAAAATGCATTTAAAAATAGAAATATGCAGTATAAAATGAAATTAAAATACATTATATAACTTTAAAAAAAGTAAAGAGCTGATATTGGGGATAGGAGCAGCTACTGTTGTGGGTGAGAAGTTGGGAAGGTAGAATACATAAAGTTATTTCATTTATATCTGTAATCAATGATAAACCATTGCTTGACGAAAGACGATTCCGTACAATTATTTAAGTAATATTCGTCATTTATAATTTATAACAGTAAACCATTGCTAATGAAAAATGATTATCTTGATTTTCTTTAGAATTTGATCTTAAAACAAATATAAAAAAATAATAATACATTACAGTCTATTTTGTTTGAACCATTAAATACAACTTATAATAAGCCTCCTGTTAATTGTTCAAGCATTTCTGTTTGGTCGAACAGTTATGCCTACATAGTATCTACCAAATAAAAACTAATAAGTAAAAAACTTGCAAAAATAAAATGTCTAAAAATAGCTCAAAAATTACTTAAGTACATTTTTCCGTTCTTTCTACGTTTTTTTCTCCCGATTTTGCTCAATTATTAAGAAAAATACATAAAAAATTAAAGACTAAATTTTTTACTTATCAACAAGATGTAAACCGCAACAAAAAAGGTATGTTTTTATTTTTTCGATTGAAGTAATATTTCCTAAAGAAAACATAAAGCGTAAAATTTTTGTTATTTCCAAAGGCCACCCGTGAAAATACCTAAATATAAATTTCCGTACCATACCTTAATCCAACCCACAAGGAAGTCAAACGTTTAGTAATAACCTTTGTCAACCGAAATAGAATTAAAAGTTATCGAATTAGGTACTTAATTAGTACTTTTGTTATAAATCATTTCGAAACAAATTGTATTTATTTTTATTATCACGTACCTATATAGTGTATACATATTATAATTACAATACGTGTACTATACATATTGTTATTAAACTAACTACGGGAGTATAAAAAGTACATATACATGACTATTATTAAGTACGCTTGCGTTTTTAAACACATGCGCATTGTTAAATACACGGGTTTCATAATTCACGTGTATTTAAATACACGTTAAACCGTAAACCCTAATCTGTACGATTCCGTTCTCTCCTCAGTAAACGACGTATAATTGGTACGCACGCTAAAATCGAAACTGAAAGGTTGAAATTATTAGGAATCGGTGAAAAATAACGGCCCGAGCACAAAAGATATAATAAATTAACAACCGCCCCGGTGCGATTTTTTTGTTGACACGTGCAATATGTTTTTGTCCGTTCAATACTGACACGGGCAAAGCCGCGCGGGATATCGGCTAATAGTGTATTCGTCAAATATTACGTTCGACAGACGCCATCCTGCCCTACAACTCCGCGTATATTCTTACGTTGTGTGTCGCGCGTGTCACCGGGCGACCGCGCGCTGGAAACGTTTTCCGGCCGCGGCCGGAAAAAAACATTGCACACGGAGAGGGCAGAACGACAGTCGATAACGGAGCCACATAATTTTATACGGACTCTCCGGCGGGGGTTGGCGGCAAAACTAAGCTTTTTTCTTTTTCTTTTTTTTTTCTCTTTTAGATTCTGAACGCGGTTTTTTTTCTGTCTGTATACGACTTTTCTGCCGGAAATCTTGTTCCAAATTAAACAATAACTGCATAGGACATTTTTTTCTGTAGAATTTCGAATTTGGTTGGTGCATTTGGTGAGAGATTCGTTTTTGATTTTCCAAGCAGTTTTTACTAATAACGATAAACTGAATAAAAACGGATAAATGTACACAGCGATATACGTCTTATTATTTTCGATTTTGTTTTTCTATACCTAAAGTCTTGCCGTAAAAATTTCAAGTGTAGTATATTTTCTGAAAATTGTCTAATTAGGTGGTAATTTTTTTAACAGTCGTTAATAGTCGTTTCATTATGTTCCTGGCGCGTCATTTTGGCGATTTGTGAACTAAATTCAGGCATTTGACATTTCCGCGTTATTTAGTTTTTATTTGGTTTTACGCGGAGAAAATATTTTTGACCGAGCAGAAATGTTTATACATTTTACATAACGTAAATTTTAAGTTGCGCTTGGTGGTGAAAATAAGAATTATGTTTAATGTTGTGTTTTTTTTTTTTTATTTAAATATTTAAAGTTCAAATTTTAACGAAAATCGTATAAACCACTGCATTTAAAAATATCTGTAACCGCTCAAAATCGTATTACGCCAGCGATTATCGATCGCTACGTACAGATATAAATTAATTAACTCTAAGTAGCCTGTGCCATCCGGATTTCCTACCTAAGACTGCGGCAAGCCCGTCCCCGTTATCAGCTCCTTTCTTGTCTTGTCTTTGTAATATAGTTCACTGAATATAATACTTGAATTAATATGCGTGGGGCCCGCGGACTGGCCGATAAGAGGCGTTAAGCGGCGTGTATAATCATAGTTATATACCAAGCGTATTACGTACGCGGTTATCCGTTCGCGCTTAAATATTAAGCGTTTAATTGCGTCGTGTCGTACTGACGTTACGGCGCGCGACCACCGCGATCACGATCGGGGCGACGACGGCGGGCGATGGGACGCGGCCGGTGGAAAGAGAAATCGCGACGGACATTGGGAAAAAAAAAAAAAAAACCGTACGCGGCATGCGCTCTGTTTAAATGGGATCCCGAGCGCCGCCGTCCGTTCATTCGACTGTTGTTCGCCGCCACCGTCGCGTTGACGTTCGTCGCCGTCCGTATATTAGTTCGAAACCGCGATGCTAGTGATCGCTTCGATTCGACGGATGCAAGTAAGTTTTTGGATCTATCGCGTGTGTTTTTTTATTATATTGAACGAGTTTTTTTAATTTTTTTTTTTTTTTTTTGTAACCAATTCTACCAGTTATAGTATATGAACTCGGAATCTACGGCGTTTGTTCACGGCGTTCAAAGGTACATTTTTATACTTTTAATTTGTTTACATTCTATTTGTTTACCATTTGACCCGTATAGAAGACAATATTTTTACGTAGGAAGAAGACTTAACTTTTTCGAGACTGTCGATTTTCGGTTGAAGTTTTATACACCTCGACCGCCATACGTAAAAACGACGAGAATGCGGAAAATTTTTATTACCACTATATTATTGAAATATATTCTACACGGTTCGTTTGGTCAACACGTATTAAGTGACGGAAAAAAATGTGTTGTTTTTGTTTTTGTTTTTTTTTTTTTGTCTACACGGGACGGGCCATACAATACCGCATAGGAAAATTCTCGAAAATTCTTGTTTTTCAACGCATTTTGGACACGACAAAAAAACAAATTCAACACTTAGTATGTAGTGCACGTGCAACATGCGTATAATACTCGAATGTTGATATTGAAAACCCGCGAATAAGGAACGAAAATCAGAGCTGCGTCCGTAATAAGATACCTAGTAGTATACACTTTGATATATAAAAAATCATTTAATATAGTATTGTAAAGTTAACGGTGGTGAAAATTACTGAAAAAAAAAAAATAATAATAGTTTATTCTACTCCTCCAGTCTAAACTGAGAATCGTCATAGATAGGAAATTTATTACCCTCTTCTATTCCTCCCGTGTAAACTTTAAGCTGTTATTACTCATTAACGGTAAATCTGATATTAGTGTTATGCATATCAACATTTTTAGAAAAATATTATCTATTCAAATCTGTGTTCAAAATGGGAGGGGAGGGTTCCTATTTAAAAATCAAAAGTATGCACTTATTTTAGGTATATGGAGTAGGGGTAAAAAATTAAAAATGGTTTTATTAATAAAGCTTAAACGATTCCTTAATGATTAGAAAAAACAGAAATCAAATTCACTGAAAATCCTCTGATATAATTGCTGGTTCATGATGAAAAAAAATCACCCGGTGTAGGCCGAATTTGGTCATATTTTTTTATTGATAACAAATATCAACACGTGAACCGGGCAACATCTTCATAAACAGCCGCATGTACGTGCATAATAATACTATTTGCATCAATAATGCACTTATACATTATTAGTAGTGCTACATAGTTAAGTACCTACTCTAAAATCCCGAAACGTTTTACACGCCTCCGCGGATGTGTTTTTAATCCGTCTAAACTTCCACTCGGAAAAGTCGATTTGAATACTGCAAAACGATACGGTTAAATCGTTTTCGCTCGGTGAAACGATGCTTGAAAAAGTCGAATCGGCTCCCCGTAATATCATCATGCGGGAAATCGGTAATAATTACCCCGTCGACCGCGGAATCGGCTTAACATTTTCGACGGGCGGTTCTCGAAGTACCTACCTATGTGTTAAATATTTCGATGTATTTTTGAGTAATATCATTTCAGTACCTATCCAACCTAACCTGCTATTGGTAACCGACGAATTCACCGAATAAAATATCGAGGGAGTGAATTCAATTAGTCGACCGGATTTCCAGAGCCAATTAAATTGCGCCGACATAATGTTCAAACGGTGTTGGTAGTTGGTACCTATACAAAACTTTGATAATTCGATTGGTATATTTTGTTGAAATTACGTGCATATGATTGTATTGGCCCGCCACAGATATAATATATAGGTTACAGGCAATACCTATGCTTGATAGTATTATATAAATTACCGTTTTAGGACGCGATATAACTCGTTGCATAATAATTAAATATAATAAACATTATTAATACTCATAATATATAGGTAATGAATACAAAATATGTATTATCGTATTGTGAAATCTCTTTTTACTTAATTTGTAAATATAGTAATGATGATTACAGATTTTTCTGTTTGATCGTCCCGAACGAGTATATCGAGTTTATTCGAGTTTGAATATTGACTCTCAAACAACTCTTTGCACCACGACCGTTCCCAAATCGAATAAACTTGTACGTGAAACTTGGAAAAAAAAACCCATAAAAAATACATCGCCCGTCCGAACCCTCAACATCATCAGCCTCGCTTCCGAGCGAATTCTAATAATCATTCAGCCTATCCAGACGCCTGAAAAGGAACTGGTGTATGGACCTGCTTTCTCCTTAAAAATTTCCTTCCTTAAGAGTGATACCGACTAACGGCTGCCTCGATTCCTTTTTCTTCCCGGGCCTTTTTACTGTCAAATTCGCTTAATTTAATAATGTTCAAACTTACCGGTTGAAGTTTATTTTGTATAAAAAAAATATATTTACATATATATATATATATATATATATATATATATATATATATATATATATAAAACGACTCATTTCGAACAATTCGAACTTATTACAGTCAATATTAATTAACGATTATTGTGTATATGTGACATCCGTTCGGATTTGTAAAAATCTTTTTATCGAAATTAATCTTTTTATTATCTACAAACAAACTTTGATAATAATAATTTCAAAAAAAAAAAATCGTATTTTTTTTCTTATTCACAACAGCAGTACCTATTATATTAACAGTCTATAATATCGTGTAGTTGTATTTTATCTTTACGTTTCTGTGTAACTACATTATATCAAATGTATGTATAATAGAAGTATAATAGTACATAATAATATAGTTTATGGATCTAGAAATTATACACCTTATCGGTATTTCTAAGTGATTTATGAAAAACATAAAAAAAAATTAAAAATTATACTTTGATAGTGCGCTTATGCAAAATATGTAGATATACAAATAATGGTATATTTATGATACTGTGTGAATTATGTGTGATAAAACGAACTGGCTGTTTAAAAAAAAAAATATATATATATTATATTGTATTTTTTAAATTTTTAATCGTACTTATATAAAACACATAAATTAAAATTACGATTAAAATTTTTATCAACACTCAGCGATGCATAACATTTATAAAGACATTCGAAAATTCAACTTTAACGGGAATACCGATGTTTTTTCTCTTTTAACATGCGTACACAGTATAACACATTTAAACAAATTTCCCATTAATCAATCGATGTAAAGAAGTGATAAGAGTATTCTAAAAAAAGAGCTGAATTATTCACAGCATGGAGTATTTACGTGAGTACGGCCAAGTCACTTATTTTTCGTATTTTAGTTTTTAATTTCCAAAAGTTTGATTTGAGAATGCGTAAAAAAGAAAAATAATAACTAAAATTAAATTTAAAAAAAACTATCTGACCGATCTGATTTACTCTTCGGATTGAATTCATATCTGTTTCCAGAACTCTTGTCCACTCCTTTACACCGATGGGACTGATTGAAGGAAACATGCATGTCTAAAACCCATGTCTAATAATCGCTATGATGTATACGTGCAGGTTAGATAAAGAAAGAATATATATATATATATGTATTGGTACCTATTCAATCCCATTCAATATTCAATTTAAAAACATTAATTATTTATGCAGACGTATTTATTTATAATTTTTAATGTGCTTTTGAAATTAAATAGGTGTATGATTTATTTTAATTGGCATTCAAATATCAAAATTATGGACAGAAATATAGGTATAATAACATATTGAATACGTTCATCTTGCTCCCTATTTTATTTCACTTGGTTCCTCCATCCGTGCTGTATTATAATTGACATTTTATGGTAACGAAAATGATTTTGAGAAAAACTAAAAATTATAATAGTTGAAAATGTCAAGTTGCTCATTTTATTTTAATTTTCTGAATAACAAAATAATGGCAACATTTTTATTATGTTTTTCCACCACGATATTTCAGTAAATTGTTCTCCAGTTTATTAATATTATCCGATTTCAAACCTTCTGAGGTGTTTGCAGACGTTTTAGAACGAAAAAAGAATCAGCCATTATTGCTGCTGTAGATCCAATTCCGAATTCGAGCTGGTAACATTTATGCAGATCTAGAAGGAGGGGGGAGCAAAATAATGGATATGCACGGTTGTTATAGTACCTATTTACTAGATGTCTGGATTAATTAACTTTAAAAAAAAATTTAAAAAATTAATAATAGTAAATCCAGGAGGGAAATGTCCCCATTTTGTCCTCCTTTCCTAATTGACGTCCCTGATGATAACTGTAGGTAAATTTAGATTTTATTCAACATTATATTCCACGTGTTCTGGCCATTTAATAATTATAATTTATAATAAACCCTTGGCAAATATGATATAATGTTCAAATATTTGTATTGATTACGGTTTTTGTAGTACTATAATTACCTACTAAAAAATATTTCAAATTACTAAACAATAATTAATTTGTATTCAAAAACTGCAATATGCGTGCGGAACTGTAAATAATCGTAACTATATTATTATTAGATATACCTAAAACTCTGATATTATTAGTAATTCATTCATTGAAATTTGTATGTTTTTAATTGGATATATCTACTTATTTGCTAAAATTTTAAATTATTTGTATACATGTTTCTAATTAATTGAAAAAAAAAATACTGATTTATATCGCTGTTTAAAAAGAGAAGTTAAAAGGGAGAATAAGTAAAGTAACTTTTCCAGTTATCTTTTCTATATTAATTTTAAATAAAAAAATAAAAACTTAATTTATATCTTTATGCAATGACAAACCATTGCTTACGAATAATGACCCTGAGCAGAATATTATTATTATTTGTTGTATTATTTCCTTTGTTGCCAAGATTACCCAAAAATCAAAAAATTATATAGAAAATTGCCAGTTTTAGCCATTTATTACAAAAGTTACAAGGAAAATCAAAAAATTATCTTACCAATGCACCGACTAGATAAAAAATTTTACAAGAAATTACCTATACAATTTTTGACTAGAACTAGATTTCTGGTAGAAAATGTATTTACAGACACAAAAAAACACATCATAATGAAATCAATAGACTCTAAACATTTTCAGCCAGTAGAGCTATATATATTTTTATTTTTAAATCTGCATTCAAGAGAAAAACATCTCAATTCGGGTTTCGATTCATATATTATAATTTCGATCGATATTTATATCCTATATAAACGATTATTTAAAATATTTATCACATTATTTCTAAAATATTTACATTTCTATAGCTATTTTTTCAAAAAAAATTCCAAACACGTTTTCGCTATTGTTGCAGTGTTTCAACCGCTTGTTATTATTATTATTTTGTATTAAATTTGTATATCTTTTTTTGCTATTAAGGATTAAATTTACAATATTATTTTGGAAGGCATATAGACGTGTAGAACGTTATTTTTCAGACACCGTTTCCACCGCCACAATCGATCGCAAACCGTATCTAATTGAACAGATACTCTCATAGTCTCGTCGATGTATACCTATACTCTCATTATACTCATATTATATGTAGGTATACAGCGAAGACTCGGCGGTAACTAGATCAGCTAAACTATATAAGTAGTCTATAATAACAGGTGTTTTTTTTTTCTTTATCTTGCCGATAGAATAATTGTTTTGGCCGAATTTCCGCGAGAAATTTTTTACGAACGTCCGTCGTCCATTAGAACCAATGACGTACGCAAATAATCTTTCTTTACTATATAATCGAAAAAACCGGAGAGTTATTCGATAATAATTTAAGTAATTGCGGTCAAAAAAAATATTATAGTTACTCGGATAACCTTGCGAGTTACCTGCTCGAGAAAAAAAGTAACTTTATACAGTTCTGTAACTACAGTTATAGAAGTTAGAATTTATGTGAAATATTTCTAATAACTATTATTCTTCATTATTAGATGATGGATACAGGTGTGCCACTGTTGTAAGTGGGAAGTTAGGAAGGTAGGATATAATATATTCTACTTCTTCGTTATAGAGTAGTTTATTTATTTTTTGAATTTGAACAAAATTCGGTTAAATATGTTTTGAAAGTGAAAATTTGAACTTAAAAAACTTATAAAAAAAAAACTATCACACTCCGCTCAATTTCGTGTTATTTTTTTAAGTGCAAATTATAATGATTATGATCAACTCATGTTAAATTGCCAAATATTTTTGCTACACCAAAACAATTGTATCATAAAAAAACTATATAATAACACAAAAATCGACAGGATGTTTTATCAAGTCTTAAAAAGGACTAATATGTATTTGAAGTATATAATAGTATTCGAAGAAAATGCTAGGTTTTTGCGATAAATTTGAACTGAATTATAAAGACTAAGTTCAATTACTAAGATACTAGTTTTTTATAACTTTATTTTTGTATCTTTTACATAGTATATGTAGTTATTACCCGACTCTTATTAAAATAATCCATAATAGATTTACAACATATATTATCGACATTTTATGTTTTCAAAACGACTTTAACAGTGACAATTATTTTTTTTATATATAGTTATATTATTATAATACTAGAAGCGTACACAGGGGGGAGGCTAAAGGGATGAATCCCCTCCCCTCCCCATTGACCATATTATTACTATTTTATTGAAGTTCTTCATATCAATTTTTTACGTTATATTCCTGATTAACAGCTGTTAGTTATAAATTATTATTGACTGTTATATAATAATTAATATCATATTATATTGTTTACGAAAATTTATCATATCAACAAATTTATGTAAACATTTTCGCTGTGGTCCGTTTATACATTGTTATCTATATGAGCACCCAAGTATCTAGACCATATGATCAAAATACAGTGTAATAACTTTATTTTATCATTTTAGTTGATAATGAATACTTTTAGTGATAGTGTAATCGTAGAACAATGAACATGATGGTCATAAACAGCCATTGTGGTTGTAAACAATTCTAGTGATATTCGTGTACACCATGATCGAATATCACGATTATTACTTATTTATCTTTAATTTTTAAATTGCACTATTGAATTTTCAAGCTTAATATTTTGTCTTTGAGTCTTTTTTTTCAAGCCCCTCCCCTTATCCCGTCGGAAAATCTTTCGTACCCCATTGTATAATACTATTGCAATTTAAATAACTCCGTTCTATTTTCTTCTGCTATTATAATATTGCCTCTACTTAAAGTATAATGTATAATGTATATTATAAATTATAGAACAATATTATTATAATATGAAATTCGTTGGACGAATTTTGTTCGGCTCGTTGACAGAGTATTATTCGCTTGCGTTTATCGCACACCATGTCTATCATGTGTTATTCGGTACGTCTTATTTATGTACCAAAGACGTAACACAATACAGATATTGTGCAAATTATTCTTATATTCGTATACACATACATCTATTACATATAGGTGACATAACCACTATAGAACGTTATACACCATATGTCATTGTTTAGATATTCGAAAAATAAGCGCACACAGTTTGTATATGTGTTACACTTTTATTTCAATTTGTCTCCAGTTTTGCCCGCGTAAAAGAACAACTTATAGTAGCGTACAGCGTTTACACGTAAGAAATTTTATTTTAATTAAAACGGAGAAAAAAAAGCTGAAACTGTTGATGCGCCACTTTTGTAAATGAGTATAGTTAGATAGGTGGGGTACATAAAGTTATTTAATTTATGTCTGTCAGCAACGATAAACCATTGATAACGAAAAACAATTCTTCGTTTATACGTAATTTGAACGGCCGTAGTATTTAAGATTCAAGATTTTCAAGGAAATTTGATTTTAAAACCATTATAAAAAGTTACTAAATTTACAACAACACACTTTAGTTTTTTTTATTGACCACTAAGTACAATTTATAACGAACCTCCTATTAAGAGCAAATCTCCTATTATATCAAACATTTTGGTTTGGTCTTACAATTATATCCACATAGTATCTTCCAAATAAAAACATACAATTATAAAATGCTTATAAATAGCTCAAAATCGCCAAAATGTTACCATATTTAAGAAAGTTATAGGTTTTCTGTAAAAAATTTAATTTCCTTAAAATATATTTAGTTGAATGAGAACAAAAAAAACAATAATAAAACCATTATTTCTGTAAACTTTCTCATTCTTTCTACATTTGTCCAGGTTTTACTCAATTATTAAGAAATAACACGGAAAATTAAAAATGGCTTACTTACTCATCAACTAGATTAAAAATAAAACAAAAAAAAAGTTTCTTGTCATTTTTCGATTGGTGCAATATTTCTGGTAGAAAACAAACCGTGCAAATTTTAAGTAATGAAATAATAACGCCGTAAATTCGTCAGTTTTTATTTCATGTAGTTTTCCGGTTTTTCCCCAATTATTATAAAAACTGCTTGAAAAAAAAAACACATTATAATATCCGAGATTCCAAAACAAAATTAAATTGTTTAACTGAAATTTCGATTGGAGTGTATATTCGACATATTCGCTGATAACATTTGGTTTTTAGACGGCGAAGATATTTCTCGCATGCAGTATACTTTTATAAATAATTATACAAAACCGCAGTAGGTAAATAATTACTTTGTAATTTTTGAGAAATCGCAAAAATCCGGTAAAACAATACAATTTGACAGTACACGATACGAAAATACGCATTTACTTAAGTTTTTAACGTTATTATTATGTTTTACTCAATGATTTCGGATAATGCGTTATTATTTCGAATTGCGTTTAAATCTCTTCCTCTTGGTACAGTAAATTAACAGATCTGAACTGTAAACCTGCGTTATAATAACCCACTTTTACAATATAATTTCTAATTGTTTTCGGTTTGTTTCACTGAGTATACGTCGTGTATACGATAGTTCTTCGTTTACAAACCTTACAGACCGGCCCTAATTTACGCATGTGCATGCGTTGCATGAATACAGGGCCCTCAAATTCTTGGCCCCGTTCCCAATAATGAAACAAAATATAAAAATTGTATTCTTTTAAGACATTTTTGGTGGATATACGACTAAGCAATTATTATGCAACGGAATGTAAACATATTAATGAAAATATGTATAATTTTCTGCGCGTAAACGTATAGAAACTTTCATGTGTTTTTCTTTAACAGAAGAAAAACGAAATTCTTTATCGCTATTAGCAATCAATTACAAAATAATTAAGTATGAAAACCCTTATTTTTTCGCTTGTTTTTAATTTTTACCAATCTTTTTTTTTCGAATTCAGCGTTTTACTAAAGTAAGAAGTGCACATGTGTCTCTGTCTTTAAATCAGATCCTGCTAAAAAATAATTTTTTACACGCGTATACAAAAAAAAACATTAGATTCGCGTACTTTATGTGCGCACTGAAAGAAAACTTTTTGACCACTATATTTAAAATACGCGGAACCGCGAAATCAAAACAAATTATCAATTACTTATATTATTGAATTTCGTTTCGTAAATATGATTGCTTCATTTTAGTTTTACAGAGATAGGTATCCAATTTTTGCAGAGGCATTGCAACATAAAATACCGACTGATGTATTATTCACACACACACACACACATATATATATATATATATATATATGTACCTAATAGTATATTAAAATCTTTTGTAATAAGCACAATTACGAGTATATTATCAGATCGCAGCGAGAAAAATAAAAATAAAAAAATACGATAATGTGGCCGTACCAGAACGAATCGCATTTGATAGATTATCAAGTCAATTGAAAAAAGTCGCGCGCGCGTGCGTTGCAAAATAATACGAGTATAGGTTATAATATTTGAATAAATAGATTTTTCGCCCTCTTCCCCTCAATTCGATTCTCGGAAAATTTAAAAAAAAAACGACGACTCGACGCTCGAACGAATTAATTCCGCGCAGAATCGGTTGTTTTTTCTTTTTTTTTCGCCAATAACACATAACTGCGGCGTTCGGTTTTCAGAATAATTTTTTATTAACCGCTATCACAATAGTATAGTGGTATTCCGAGTGGCAATTATCGAAGCAAAACGAGCGCCGCCGCGGCGGTATATCCTGTAATTGTATATATACATTTTTTAGATTAATACGATTTGTAAAATAATTGTAACACGAGTTGTTGTAACATTCTGTGCAATCAGAAAAGTTTACTCTAAAAAATATTATTATTCGTCTGAACCAATAAAATATACTTACATCATAGCCGTTCTAATATAAATGTATATACTTATATTTGTACGTTGCGTGTTCAGAAATTTTCAATGGGAGGTGGTGCAAATAATAAAAGCACGAATAAATCGCAGAATATTCGTCCTGATCCGACAATGAAAATTTAAAATCCAAATCCAAAAATGTCAACTCGTATTATTTATATTAACATCAAACTATTCTTCGTAATTTGGCTGTAATAAAAAGTTATTTACGATTAAACCACCGAACAAATACTCAAAATTGTTGTATTTTAAACCAATTGCGGGGGAATTATCGCAATCGACGAATAGGGTAAAAACTTTTAAACGTATATAATTGAGTCGACCTAATGATTATTTAATTTGAATGTTTTACCGATATATAGCGGGCACGATGGAAATTGGTAAAACGAATATAGCAATACTGTGTGTTTTCATCGCAACATGTTTTCATTGTATGTGACTAAAAAACTTTAGCTTAGAATCTCATAGCTCATTGCACACAATGTATGAATTATGCAAACTAATTCATTTCTAAGTACGAGCATTTATAGTTTTATACAATGTGTACATAATAGTATTATGTATATATTGTAAATTAGAAATCACATCGTAATAATATAGTCGCACACATCTTTCCGGCGTCATGTCGTTGGATTTCTCAAACTTTTTTTTTTTTATTTCGTATCGAATACCACCACTACTTTAGCGTGTAAAAACATTTTAAATTTTTTTTTTATTTCGGTTGAATATTTTTTTTCAAACGTACAGATTTCAATGATCGTTTTTTTTTTTTTTTGCTACTGCAAAAAACGCAAGAGAAAACAAAAAATTTGCGGTTTTGTTGTCCTTCCAATTACGTAAAGCGTATCCGAAATCTCACTATATACCAATATTATTGTAATATTTATTTACATTAATTGATTTATAGCATCTATTTATTCCTTGAAAGTGTACATAATATTATGCAGTGTTTTATAAAATCCTAATAAAAACATTCTAACCGCGTTTGTAATATTTATCGAAAATATTATTGTATATATTTTACATTTTTTTAATTTCGCGATAATATCATTTTCATATTATTTTGTTTAGTCTTTCGCCGAGTCTTCAGTTTTTAGAGATTATCAATTAGTTATTTCGGCACAATACAATGACGTGAATATATTATTTTTATTAAATTTGAACACACAACTGCACCATTAAAATTAAACTGGTTGGCGCCCCCCGCCCCCCTCCCGGGGAACTATAATATATGAAAACGAAATAAACCACCTATATATACGCAATAAATAAAATATTATCTATTTATTATAGTTATAGCGTATACCTGAATTTTTTTTTGGACGGCAAACTTAACCGAAAAATTAAAAAAAAAACATTCGATTTAAATCTCAGAAATCCACAATTAGCAAAATAATTAATGTATAATATGTCTCATCTTAATAATTAGTCGTCATTTCGAGGTCGAGTGGTTTTCGAAATACACTGCGGCGCGCGAAAAGTGTCACTTTTGTTAATTTGCGTTTATAATGTACCTACTCACAGATTTGAATAATAAATTACTCGTACGTGGTACGTTTGAGTGTATACAGTGGGATCTTGTGAATTCTGATCTCAAACTGTAAACCGTTTGTTTATTTATATTTAATAATATGTACATGTTCGTCTTTCATAATGTATATCATTTTTTTTTTTTTTTTTTCATAACGACGTGAAAATTTTAAGTGTAAAATATCGTTTTCCGCATGAATTATAACTTATATTTCATTATCATCTACGGAAAAATTATGGTGGTGGCGCCAGGGTAGTTCTGTGAGTCTGAAAACTCGTCGGAAGGATAACTGAATACTAAATTGCTAGAGAGTATAATGAGTCGATTTAAAATTCAATTTTTTTTTTTTTTTTTTTTTTATGAAACTTTAAAAACGACTCAAATTAGCTTGATTTCATTGAAAATGAGGGAGAATTCTTATCATTAATGAGTAAACGGATCAAGAGATGTTTGTTTGCCGTCTCGAAATAATAAGACAATACAAGTTTGCACCTTTACTTTTTTAAGAAACAAAATACGACTTATGTTTCTCGCGTATTTTTCTCAGATCAAATTTCCCAAATATTTTTTTTAGTTCGGGCACGCATGGTGAACCTAGGTAAACTATTTAAATGTGTATTAGTCAACAAAATCAATAAAACAAAACCCAAAAACGCTAGGACGACCCAAACTCCGATGGATTGACGTAGTTACCAAGAATTTATCGATGATAGACCATGATAGAACGCGACCTTATAGACATATCGTATTAAAGAGTATTATTGGCTTTGATAGCAACACTGGTCTTGAACGGACCGTTTAGTTGACGAAGAAAAGAAAGCGTTTTTTCTGAACTCACTTAAGATACATTAAGAATAGTATTCAGTTAAAAAGAAAATGGTAGAATTATTAAATGAGCATAATCCATCGCCATGGATTGAGCAATCTTCAATGGCTTTCAATAATTGGATCCGACTCATAATATTGTCTCAACGCCTTATAAACAATAATGACTTGTTATAGAAAATTGTAATTCATTTTTGAAATTTATGTTTTGAATAAATAGTTATGATGACTTGAAATTTTAATTAATTACCCTAAAATAATATTCGGGAAATATTCAAATGTACCATTTAGAGAAAACGACATTCGGACAAATACTGTTCAGGATAAAGGTCTGTGATTCACATTTTACTAAAAAAATAATAAAAATAATAATTGTTAGGCGCTGTGTTACTATAAAGAAAAAGTTTCGGATCGGATATTCTCTACTACAGGCGGAACTGCAGCGGTAAATAAAACAATGGATATAATATAATAAGTAAATTATGATAATTTGTCAACTATTTATAGGTATAATAATGACGACAAATAATGATTAGTAATTATATTATAATACCAACTATGATGACGTACATACACCGCAAATTGTTCACGATTTCTCGTGTCGTTATTATTATTTTGATCAATTAGTACCTAATACCCGATCGGGTACTTATCAACGACTGTTGACATTTTATTTCATGTTAATGATCACAACATTTATCAAACGCATTAATATTATAATGTAATTCTCAATATAATTTTTCGAAAATGGTCCATTATTTTATGCGTAAAAAATAGAGCCGTATCTAATATTATTTCCGATTGATAACAATTATAACTAATTTGTTCTTCTCGTCTTCATAATTGCCCGATCGGTGTACTGTTGATCTCTTTTTCGTTACTTTCAATTCGTCTTCTTATCCGTGTTTATCGCAATAATCTGTTTCGCTGTTAATCTCCCTCCTTTGCAGGACTGCCTATTCCATTATGGCCTTCTACGCCCTCTTCTATATGACACTTTTCGTCAAACTAATCGTGTCGCAGTAAATGCCCTATCACTTTGTCCTTTCTGACTTTAATACCAAAGTAAAAATGTCAGTAATTCAAATAAATTTGTACATTTTATGTTGTAATTAATTTACCGTATAAAAATTATCCAAGAAAATTAAGGAACATACACACTGCCCATCTGCTTGACGAAATTTTATGTGACCTATATTTTAGTTATCATTATCGCAATTTTCCAATACAGGAAATTTTTCTTAATATATTGACTATGCATCACATTATTGATCAAGTATTTTTAAGAAAAAAAAACAACGATTTTCACTCTGTTACAAAAGTAGGATATTTTAAACATGCACAAATATCTATTCCTATTTTAGAAACTCTTGTTTAACAATAGATTTTCGATAATCAACGACCACCGTTTTTGCGATTATAAGTAATATGTATATAAATACATTGGCATTTATAAAATTTACTTAAGTCGAAACAATAGAAGAGATTGTTTTTCAATTCGTACTTAGGTCTTAATAGGTATTCTAACAAAAAAAAGTCGAATTACATCTTTAACGAAAATTTTTTCGAAATATACGTTTAAATGTAAAATATAGTATTATAAATTTATTTTTGTTTGTTTACACGTGTGTAGTGAAATAACATTTTCAAATATATTAAAAATCTGCTTTGCGGTAATAAATGAAACGTTTTATAGTACGTATATATTATTATGAACAACTACGTTTTGACGTTTCCGGTCAAGGTTAGCCGGATTTTAATTTAAACGCTTCTGTCTGAATTTTTATCATTTCATTATTATTATTATTTTTTGTGATCACAGACTAATAAAACCAATGCCGTATTATACAATATTCAGAAACCAACAACACCCGTGACACGATCCGTAATCTGCTGTACGATGAAAACCTATATTTAATTTCTGAATATTATTCGGTGATTTCGAATGAGGTTAGGTTAATAATAATCTTATTTAACTTTACGATACCTACGCGAATAAAGAGGCATTCTTAATTCTATTAGTCGTGTTCCGTTGATACGCGTAATTAACATCATTTTAAGTATTTTTTTTTTATAATTTATGGTCTTTATATTATATTGTTATCTTAATAATCAACACGGTGTACTGATTTTTTTCCTGTATAAAAACGCACGCGCTACATATTGTTAGGTAAATGTCGCTTTTCACTATAAATTCTCTCCGCGTATTTTTTTCGACAATCAATTCGGTATGCCTATCTAATAAGGTGCCTACATAATATTATTATCTTTTGTTCGTCAAATGTCATTACCGTATTAAATTTAAGTTACCCGAGTGTGATTTTTAATTTAATTTAATGTGGGTATTTATTTTATTTTATTTTTGTACTCGAGATAAATGGTTTGTAGTTGGTATAACAAATTAATAACCGAGTATAGTGAGTATAATATAGTAGTCGAGTTCTAATGTACAAAACAAGATTTACAATAATTTCAATGAGTTTCGCTACAGAGAATTTTCTATATAGATGCAAATTAAACCTTAAGTTAGAACGATCACTGCACTAACATATAACAAATTATATTTTACTTCGTATTTTGTATTAAGTAAAACTGTCGTTATTTTGTTTCGTAAAACAAACGTTGAGTGAAAAGAATTAATATATTATTATAATATTAAGTAAGTAAGTCACATTTTATGTTGTAGTGCCTGTTTTTGTCGTTTTATAAATCGTAACAGTTTATTATCAACAGAAGTTTTCATCAAAATATTTACGCTTTTTCATTTATTAACTTGCGGTTTTTAAATTGTACGCGACTGCTAATTATTAAAAAAAAGTAATAATAATAAATTAAAACATTTAATATTCGTTTTATTGTATACAAAATGGTTTTTTACATGTATAATTTATAAATACTACAATACATATCAATAATGTACACCAGTGTTAAAATATATAATCAACAGAATTGCACATTTACTTTTTTAAATTATATGCTTTATATTTTATAGTTGTGAAATTTTATAATTGCGTATAATCATTACACATTTATACAATTTATTGTTAATTCGATTTTATTCGTAAAAATACAATATTGTTGGTTATAACTATACTTTTTTTTTATTATTAATAAAACCATACTACCGTTTAGATTTAATTTTAAAAATCTCTAATAATATTTACAAATTTACAGTTAGTTACTTAAGCACGTGGAAAATACAGTTAACTTTTTTGACATTTTAAGAAATCAAGTACTCTTCAATACTTCCTATAGATTAAATAAAGTTTTATTATAGGGGCCCCGAAAAAAGTTTAATAGCAACTAAATTATTGTGAAATAAAAATGTTAAAAAACTAGTTCTTTCTGCTCACGAGACTCATCAAAATTACAAATAATTTCCTCTCAGAGGCTCTAATCTAAAACGTACGCATTCTGTAATTCCCGCACAAAACCAATGTCGATTATTCTATATAATTTATTAATTATTTTAATATATAGGTTAAAATAGCATATACATTTGATTTGTGTATCTGCAGGGATATAAAATATAATTTTTATTTACCATATTATTTGAAGCATTTTAGAGTTGTAATGTTATTTTTCAAGTTTTTTTTGTAATTTTTTGCTAATGCATACAATGTATGTATTATATATTAATTATGATTTACTTTGTGTTTTTCATAAATCTCGTAGAATAGTGGAACAAAGTTATTATTTATGTGAATCTATGAGAAAATACCCACACTTCCGTTTCATTTAAAAATATTTCATATTATGGTCAGTTTTATCGTAGCCCTTCGATATTGTGTATTTTATAGCGTTCCAGTACTTTTCAATAACACAAAATCCGAGTCCTGGTCACACTTGTCCGCAGCAATACTTCCGGTTTAAAAACATACGACCGGCCTTCGAAATATCGTTTCATTCTTTCCGATTTCACTTCGATTATTCCCCTCTCCCTCTCTTATCTTCGCTGTCCTCCGCTATCACCGACAAAATTGTTATATTCCTACTATAAAATTAAAATCGCGTCACGTGATTTTAATACTAACATTTTATTTCGGCTATTTTGGCTGTTTAATAATAGTATCTTTAACCCGTACACTATACATAAATTATTAAATAAGAAAAAAATACATTTCATTATTATCGTTGTTTTGTAAAATCTATTAAAATATTGTTAGGTTGTGTAAAATATGCCGAAAGTTTTAGAATAAAAACATTCGTATCCAATTGCTCTTTTCGCGTGCAGAAATGCCGATTTACGTTTGATACATGTTAACGTCAGTGGTGCGTATACGAAAATTTCCATATTTATCTAAACAAAAACTAACGCTACGCATATATATATTATATAAAATGCAATTAATATAATAGAATCTAATCACGACGAAATATTTAAAATAACGTGTTTAAAAAAAAATTCTAGGCAATTTTCTTAAATATAGGTATAGTGTTTTCGAATAACTACCTAATTTTGTATAATAAAGTGGTGCAGATAACCGAAAACAGCATAAATCGTGTCCATAGTTCGTTTGTTGAATAAATGGGTAACAAGGATGAAATATTTTATTATTGCCAGTTTGCTACACGCGGTTTTGATAAATTTTGTCTCCAATTTTTTCTTTTTTTTTTCTTTAACCAAAAAAATATATAATTTAAATTATTTTGTCTTTTTTTCACTATTTCTCATTTATTTGCACTTTAATATTTAGAAAATGTCCTATCTATTTTCAAACTATGCTATAAAACTGGACCAAACAATGGTGTAGGGAAATTGTCGGTTAGTTACAAAGATTACCTGATCTACAAATTTAAAAGGTAAATTTGTTTTCAAAACCAGCTATCATATTAGGTATGAGTGTAAATCCCTGCCATCGCTGTCCTTTGGCAAATCTACTGGTTACTGGACAATGATTTATTATGGTAAATATAAAAATTTAGATTTTAATTAACTCTATGGCATCTTAGATTTTAAGTGGCGTGAAGAAGCTTATAGTTTTACAAATATGTTTATTATATTATTTTTATTTTTATCTGTGAACAAATTTCTACCAGAAGATTTGCTCAGATTTTTAAGTATAGCATCTTTTCTCAAATTAAATCGGTGTGAGATGGTACTTTAGGGAGGTCATTCTTAAAAATTTTCTCATAAAATGAGAAAAACCGAAAAATAAAAATGGAAATATGTACGAAATATATTACTTAAATATTACGATTTTTTTTTCAGTGTACAACTTCTATCAATTTTGATCAAACTTATAATGATAGCAATGTTTCTAAAAGGAAATTTCACTAGGGAGGTACCTTAGAGGGGTAATTTTTCGATTTTCTCAAGAGTTTTTTCATCAAATTTGAAAAACCAAAAAACACAAAGGAAAAATAGGAAAAACATAGGAAAACTGGGAATATCGGTACAAAATTTAAACAAATATTATTTAAGAAAATATGTAAAGCCTATTTAATTATTTACTGTAAAATTAAATGTATTGTTTAAAAAGCATCATTATCATCTGAACTCCACTCAGAATCGTTTTTTCGTAAGCAATGGTTCATCACATTACATTAAATTATCTATAACAGTGGCTGCAAAGGTTTATAAAAACTACCAGGCTAGGGTGTTGATTGAGGGGAGAATTATCAAATGTTTCGCCTCTTACCTTACTCTCCACCATTCAAATAAAAACCTAATGATTTCAACGCCATCTAGTAGCTTAATTTTAGAAATATTTTAGTCCTTTGTTACCAATATCTTAGCCCGTGTTAACGTGTCCTTTGACACGTATTTGACGAGTAATTTAATTTTACCTATTGAAAACGAAGAATTGCTCCATTTCAGAATTTCAAAGCAAGAAAATCTGGATAATAATTAAAAATTGCTTAATCCGTGTTCATCAGTTATATTACATTAACATGTAGATGGTGCTAAAATCGGTCAAATCTTATAATCGCCTGCACTCTCCGTAAGCGTAATACTTATGGCTTACAGATGTTGCACCTGATGACATCCGTTATATCTTAGTCCGTGATTTGCGTCAGTACTGTGATATATTAAACGTCGTAATTATGAATTAAAATTGCATACCTTCAGTATACGGAACTAAAATACAACACACTAAGACCACAGATATATATAATAACTAGATAGCCAACTGTGTTCTTATAAATGATGTTCAACAGCCATTTACAACTTAGGCAATGTTTACTAATCGTTCAAATGATAAGAAAAAACAAATGCGTGTAACGGGGCTAAGGTAAGGATTTAGACTAAGAGAAAAAATGTTGAAATAAATCAAACTCCAACTTGAGTTTATAAATAATTTATATTTCCCACTCAAAACTACTTAAGTCCAATAAATTCAATTCACAAACATCAAAAAATATTCTAAGTCCAATTTAATAAAACTCACAAAAATATTTCATAAAACAGAGTGACGCGAAGTTGCTCGCATTTGATCGTAGTGGACTCGTTTGATTAGACGATGTTTCGGGCGGCGTTATGTATGCTTGGAGGGATCCCCGCAACCCTTCGTTCACAGTCGCGGCTATCTATATTATTTCGTTTAATGTACATTTTTTTATTATTTTGTATGTCATCGCTAATGCGTTATGTTATGCTCAATTTACAATTGTAAAAGGGTACGTTTTACTATTACTTCGGTTCGCTCTTATTTGGTGCTGGTCGAAAGGTTAATGTGGCCGGTTAATAAGTTTCTTAGCCCCTGGCTTTGGGTAGTGTTCTCCCATGGAATTGTCCCTCCTTTCGTATAATTCGGCGCGTACGCAATTTAACCCAGCATTTAGTACGGTGGTTACTAGCGCGTATACTTATACGTGGGTGAAATACGTAACAAACGGTTCAATTGCTATAATTACGACTTTTGCGATTTGGAAAAAATAAAACTGTACAATGAACATTTTGAAAACAATGTTGAAGTCAGTATTTGACTATTAGACTTAGTTTTGAAGTATAGACTTATGAAAATCACGGTTGTCCGTTTTAATTTTTTTAATTTTGCTAGTTAAAGTTTAACAAAATATAGTTGCACACTGCGCCTACTGGTTTCAACCCCAAGTATCAGAACTATATTAATATGCGAATAATAAGTATTAAGTAAAAGGTCGGATTTTCACAGTTACTAGAAGTGTTAACAGTATTCACAAAGTCTTGTCAATCTTTAATTAATTAACTTTAAAAATCCATAATAGTACGTTTGTTGTCGGTTAATATTCTATGTTAACGTAGTTCATGGTTATTATATTTATCTCACTATCTGTGATTAGGACAGCATACAAATGATAAGAATTTGTAAATATTTCCCAAATAAAAATGGCACTGGGCATCATATAAATCACAATAAATATACACATACATAGAATGATTCACTAAGCGTGCTCACCCCATTTATTTGGTTATATTTTACATTTATTAAAAATCTGATTTTTGAAACTTTAAAGTGTAGTTAAAGCCGATATTTTCGAATACTTATGTTTTCCGTAAAATTTAAGGAGTATTCTGTGATGATACTAACTTTGGTTTTTCAAACGAGAATCCATATTAAAAATTCCATAAATAGACGGAGTATTACTACAAATACATTTTTGTGTCAAAATTGTTGATTTCCGTCTTCCCGTTAACGAGATATTCCACTTTTAAGTATAGATAATAGGGAGAGAGTATTGAAATATTAATAAAATGCCACACGCTGTTTCACCACACAAATGACACTACACTTAAAAGTTCCAAAAATCAGACTTTGAATACATGAAAATTAAACCAAAAAAATTGGATGAGCACGCTTAGTGAATCATTCTGTATATCTGTGGCTTAGACAAATTATTGAAATAATCATATCAGTTTCAAATTATGTTTTCGACCTCTAGTATTTAAATTGTACCAATGGACCATTGTACCTAATGATGATGTTCACTCTAAATTATAACATTATTTGACAATATACATACATGTACCTACCTAATAATTTCTGAAGTTAAATTAATTTTTTTTATACCATTAACAACTAATGTCATACTGGTTTTAACATACCTTGCAAAGTCGCAACAGCAGTACTAAAAAATAAAATAAAAAACATTTGTTAATTATTTAATAATTATCACTATTAATAGAACATCGACTGATAAATTGTAATTCCGTATTATCCCAGAATAAGGATTGTGGAGGCCCAGGGGGCCATATTAATAAGAAGGCTTATTCTGTTAAAATAAAACCAATAAATAAAAAAAACTGTCCTAGGATAATGAAGACGGGTGCAGCCACTATTATAGGTAATTTAATATATATTTGTAAGCAACGATAAACCATTGCTAACGAAAAATGATTCTGAGCGGAATTCAGTTGATAGTAATGCTTTGTCAACAATATATATGCCATGTTATGGTAAAATAATATGGTAGGCATTCTATATTTTCTTTAATAATATTTGTTTAATGTACCAATTTTCCCGTTTTTCTTACGTTTTTCCCTGTTTCCCCATGTTTTTCCCAGTTTTTCATATTTGCCAGGAGAACTCTTGGGATAATCAATAAATAACTTCCTTAAAGTACCTTTAGAGTCCGATTTACTTTTAGAAAAGTTGCTATACTTAAAAATCGGATTAAGATTTCTGGTAAAAAAGTTGCGGACAGATAAAAAAAAATGAAAATCTTTGTAAAACTATAAACTTCTTCGCCCCACCACTCAGTATCTAAAAAGTCTTTGGTTATTGGATTCAATTCTTAATAATGGTTTTTGTGGGCCCCCACTTCTCGCGGCCCCCTCTGCTCCTTCCTTAAACCGGGCCTGCCCGTGTTATCTTAATTCGTGATCGTATATTATCTTAGGCCAGTGGCTATTTTTGTGTGAACTTCATTAAATTCAGTGCACTACAAAATTCCAAATGTGCACTACGAAAAACTAAAATGTGCTTCTGCCTGCTACGTTTTTATTATAGACGAGCCACAAGTTTTTACAGATAATTTTTAAAGTAAACAATTTTTTTTTTTTTTAAGTATATTTACAGTGTAATCAATCCTCGTTATCACGGAAAGTATTTACTTTTCGGAATTGTGTTTTGAACAACTTATAAACTCTAAAATGTTACATTTCCGTCATTTTTTGTTATTCTTATTTTTGGGGAAGATAACACTTTATATTTTTAAATAGCAGCATATATTAAAAAGTCCCATAAATAATTGACGTTTTAGTTAAAATAAATATTAGTGTTGAAAATAACAATTTCCGTCAACTCTCTGTACATATCAAACTCAAATACAGTATGTGTGTGCACTACGGAAAGTGTAAAAAAATAACCACTGCCGTATGCTACTGCAGTAACGCAATAAATGTATAATTTTATATAATTTATACCTAGATGTGTTTTTTTAAGTACATCGATACCAACATCCGACGAATTGGTTTCTAATTAAAACCTAACGATTAAAACGCTGGTAAATACGCGCGACCGAAACGCCTGCTATGTTACTAGCTGCAGCTTTATCAACAAAAAACCCATTACCATTAACTTTTTTAATGTACCTATTGTGAATTGTAACGTACAAAGTAATATTCATTATTTTTCATAATAGTTTATTTTTATTTTTTTTTATTGTGTGTTTCTACAAATTAATTAACTTTTCGTGAATAACCGAACCAGTATTATATTATGGTAGTAAATTTCGAGATAATTGTTAACTATATATTATAATAATATTATATACGTATATGGTGTAAAACAGATAACGCGAGAACCAAAGGTTATCCACGTTATCATTATAACATGAATATTATTATCGAATGAATTTTTCTAAAAAAAAAAAAAACCCGCGTGTTTACCACTGGTAATAACTTCAGTAAAGTGTATACGAAAATATTTGAGTGTTTCTTTAGTGATAAATTTAATTTATTTTTTATTCGTCCCGCGAACTAATCTATATGGTCTAGTGATGCTCAACTTTGTTTTATTTGTTTCGTCTAGAATCGATACACAAATATTTTCAGTTGTTTTTTGAAAAATGCATACACCGTCAACACAAACGAGTTAAAAACTTTTCTTCGTGATGTGATAACCAACGGACGTGCGTTATTGAAAATCCGAACCCATTTCTTTATTGCTGTCTAGTCGGTGCACTCGGGGAGCCAGTGATGTGATTATTTTTGATTTTCTATAGATTTGCGGGAGGGCGGGTTATTTGAGTTATTTGAAACGTTCGAGTTTCTATTTTCTCGATTTCGCACGGAGAAAACGGTTTTGGTCTTCGTAATAATGATTGTAGGTACTATAACGGGGATAATTTTCAAATCTCGCGATCACATCGTCGATCGGCCCCGGGTTGAGGATACGCGCACTCGGCCGATATAATGTAATACTACGCACGACAACGATACTTTTAGACTCGCATACAATATCATTTCCGATCGTCTAATTAATTATGATAAGGCGTATTATTATATACTCTAACTTCGTGTGCGCGTGTGGTTCAATAATGAATCGAGCGGCTACTATAATATACGCGGGAATGGAAACCCTCTCCCGGGTCGTGTCAACGTTGCCATCATCGTAAGAGATGTGTATAATTACAGATAATAAAATACTAAATTCCTACTATTATATGCACGTTGTTATTATTATTATGGAAAACGATTCATTATCATTATTATTATTATTATTATTATTATTATTATTATTGTTGCCCGCTTATTAGCGCGTGTTATCGAACTGATTCCACTCCGAATGTGTGCGGCACTCGTATAAATATAATATAATACCTAATATACCTACTTATTGTAATGATTTTAATCGACTAAACGATGGCACTTGTATTGTTGTTGAACGGTTCTGCATTATAGGGTTTCGTTTGGAATATTAGAATTCATGTTATTAAAATAATAATTATTGGCATTCGGCTCGCCGACGCGTGCAGTCGTGTTTTTCCGCGGTGACGCTGGCGCCCGCGCTTCGATATATTTTCTTATTATTACCTACCCGTGTTTGTGTAATTTTTTCGAGTTTTAATTTCTTTTCCTCTCTCCGCGACCGGCGTTATATTATTATAGCGAAACGACAGTAATATCCGCGATGGCTAAAGAATACATATCGCTGTACGGAACTATCGTTATTGTTAATTTGCATTATTATTGTTATTATTATTCACATTTTCGTGTCTACGTATTGTCAACGTTACCTATATTAATAACTTTATGAGTTCGTTCGGACAATTTATATATACATATGTATATGTTTGTATACGTGTGTGTGTGTGTGTGTAATTTATTTTTTCGTTTTTCTGCAGATTAGCCGATAACCCCAAGTACGGGTCCGTTGATGACGACGTGTTTATGAGCACGCCACCGACGATGACCGGAGCTTTCGCACGTCAGTCGTCGACCGGTTCGACCGGCAAACAGCTCGTGTACTGTATACACGGCAAACCGTCCGGTTGTTGCGCCACGCTGGTGACCGAGGACCAAAATTCCAACCAGAAATCCGATCAGCCCTCACAATCGTCCATCACAATATGTAAGTGTACCATCGCGACGAACGTACGTAATACTATGATATCGGTCGTTAAAAAATGCAATTTTTAGATTTCGATGTGTTCCACCATCTCGGTTCTCTGAAAAATCTCGTTCGGTTGGTAAAAATCCGATTCGATTTTTTTCACGCCCTATACCTGGCAAAAGATACGGAATTTTCGACCGGCGGCACATAACATTCCACTAAATTCTGAATAGTTTTTCCACGAGGTTGGGGGGACACGACTATAGTAATAATAAGTTAACCGACTTCCTATTTTTAATTTTCAAACGGCAACCTATATTTAAAATTCCACAAATAAACGGAGTTTTAGTTTAAGCATCATTTGTGTGATGGCATAGCGCAGTGCGTTTAAACAGTGCTTCGCTGTTCTTTTCCTACACCTATAATAGGTTGCAATTTTAAAATCAAAAGTAAGTAGTTGGTTAACCCCCAAAAATAAGGGAGACAAAAAAAAACGTAATGTAACATTTCAGAGTTACTTGTTTCTTAAATTTTACAACAAATTAAATTACGAAAAAAGTTGTTAATACTTTCTGAGATAGTGCAATGATCGTATCTTCGTGGGATACTCTGTGTGTATTTAATCTAGCCAGTTTACCGAGGTCCACTCAGAATCGTTTTTATTTTTTTTTTTTTTTTTTTATTTCAATGATATCTTTAATTGTTTTCAGTTAATATATACGTAAATACCTATTATCTTATATTCAAACCTTTCGAACTAGCCGTTTAGTATGCGACTTACCCGCGGGATACGAAGTTAGTTTTTTATTTTTTCCGGAGACGCTTGTTTGATCAATTTTATCAAATTATAATCCGCAAAAAGCGTTGAAAATCCACCGTGTCGGTTTTTAAAATAAAATGTCGCATTATCCTGTAGTTCTGTCTGCGTTTAATAGTATATAGCGATAGTGAGCAATTAGAACTATACCATCTACAATACAATAGATAAAACTCAATAATTTTATTCTACTAAAACAAAATATAATATGGTGCAATATTTATCGAAGTTTTAAAAACCGTGTGTGTGTTTGTGTATATATATATATATTAATAATAATAATAATAATGATATGACTGGCCAGAAGATTAGATTAAACGTATAACATATGAAAAAAAAAAATCATACAATACTTAATCAAACGCTATTTTATTTTTTGTTTAAATTTTTGTGTAAATAACTTTTTACCATTGAAAATCTTATATTTTAATCAAAAACTTTACGGGAACTTTCTTATAGAATTTTTGATGTATAATTGGTACATTGAGAAAGTCAGTTTCTAATTGTTCTTGTATAGTTATCTTAATAAATGAGAAAAACTGTCAATTTTTGGTAATATTTTTTTTGATTTCTGGACTGCTTTGGCGACAAGGGAAAAAATACTTCTAATAATACTTTGATCACAATCGTTTTTCGTCAGCAATAGTTTATTACTACATATTGATATAATTTAAATCACGCTATATATCCTGTCTTCCAACTTTTTTCCTAAAACAGTTTCACACCCATCAACAATATCAACCTTTTTATTATTGTTATTATTTTTTTTTTTACGTTCACGTCGCACGTTAGTCCAAATAAAATACATCTGTCTGTTTATTATTTATATTAATTAATATTATAATCTCGTCGGCATTAACGATGAAGTATCTGTTAAACATGCGGATTTAATTCGTATTGTAGAGATTTTTTTTTTAAAAGTCGGCGAATTTTTAATACTTTATAAAGTAATGTATAGTATATAGTACACTTTGTAAATTATTGTCAAGCAACGCCCGGAGTATTATTATTAAGAGGACGTTATAACCTTATGTACCTATTGTCTGCGTTTTACAACCACGTGACGTGGACAATTTTCATTCATCAGGGACAACTCTGTGTCGTTAGTTTTAATATTGGTGTGAATTGACTTACTGTCAAGTTTAAAGACAAAAATATCATTATCTGTGTCTTGTCTTTTTTTTTCGTAATTTTAATTTTTAAGAGAGTCATTTTTATGAGTGTGTAAAATATTACAATTTAAAAATGCTTATATTTCGCTTAAAAATTTAAAAATTAAAAAAAAAAAATAGGTCAATCAAGTGGTTGTAAGACAGAGGCAGCGGGTATAATGTTCTATTTTCCCCCCTTTTTTTTTCAGTCAGCGAACATTGTCATACGAACAACCGGGAAACGGCTTCTGCCGATCATAAAAAGGCCAGACGAAAACTCATATTCGCCAGCGTACTATGTCTTATTTTCATGATCGGAGAGGCGATCGGTAAGGTTAAACGCCTAATGTTCCGAGAGAAAAAACTAACAATACTTACTGATATTATTCTAGGGGGATATCTGTCGAGCAGTTTGGCGATAGCCACGGACGCGTCGCATCTTCTCACGGATTTCGCCAGCTTCATGATATCGCTTTGCGCCCTGTGGGTGGCCTCGAGACCAGCCACTCGGGCTATGCCGTTCGGATGGTACAGGGCCGAAGTACTGGGAGCGCTGACGTCCGTCCTCCTGATCTGGGTGGTCACCGGCATTCTGTTGTATTTGGCCGTCGAACGCATCAAAAACATGTCGTACTCTATCGATGCCAACATTATGCTTATCACGTCCATCATCGGACTATGTGTTAATGTAGTGTGAGTATAATAGTCTTGGCTATAAATTAACGTGCGAATAGGTTCGCTTTACGGATTTTAAGTAACCAAACCCGGATTAAAACATTCAGAGGGCCCGGAGGCAAACTTTTTAACAAAACCCTCAAAAAAAATGTTAAACATTATATTAACTACTCAATATGACCATATGCTTTATAAAAAACAGTAAATAATGTAGAGATAAAAAATGTCAATTCAAAAGGTATATGTATGTTAATTAAATGATAAATAAATCAATTTTTATATAAAAAAAAAAAAAAAAAAATGACTATAACTTATAGTTTCCTTTATAAGAAATCATCGAATAACGAACTAATATTAAAAATAATTAAATAACAAAACACAAAAGTTAATGATTATATAAAGAACACACTTAAGCGAAAACTGCAGAGGCCCTTGGAGTCTTTTACATCCTTTTGCCCTTTAATCCTCTGCTGTAAATAACGGCGGTTAGTAAAAAAACATTCATAATATATATCGGCGAGTTTTCAATCAATTAATAAAATTTAACGAGTTTTATAAGGAACAGAGTATTATACTAACCTTTTACCTAACCCGAAATTTTACTGCTATGTATGAGTAATACAATGTGTGTTATTGTTTTCGCATATTGCAGTATGGGTTTGACCCTGCACCAGCACTCGCATTCGCACGGCGGTCTCGAGACGCATAGCCATGAGACTTCGGGTCGGAACAGCTCCAACAACATCAACGTCAGGGCGGCCTACATCCACGTCCTCGGAGATATCCTTCAGAGTCTCGGGGTTTTAGTAGCTGCCGTTGTCGTATACTTCAAAGTGAGTATCTATATTTATGTGACTTACTAGTGAACGTTATATATGTACGTGCTGTTCGGCACGTAACCAAAACTCGCAGAATTCGTTTTATTCGACCCTACCCACGTAGGTATACATTATATATTATAACACACGAAATTCCTCGCCACAATTTGATAGTTTTTTTTTTTTTTTAGTCGTCTTCTTATCGGATTCGTTAGCCTATTTTTCTTGTATAGGTACGTATTCAGTTGTCTACAAGTGTTTATGGGGTTTTTTTTTTTTCTAATCGGCACTTATGCGTGACGGTAGTTATATTTTTCTCGTTTAATATTATTTATTATACTTTTATTATTACTTGTATATTATGCTGATCCACTATAATTATTGTTAGATATACGCCAATACAAATATAATATAATATTGTTTACAACGTTCCGTCTGCGCGAAATTAACCGAATATATTACTTATTCAAACATAATATTATTGCACATTAATAATAATTGACACAATATCTACCTACGGTAAATTTATAGTTGTATTTTTTTTTTCTAATTTTCTCGACAACCGCCGAGGTTTGTGTTTGTATACTATACAATAGTAATAGTATGGTTATTAACCGTAATACAATATATAATATATTCTGTTCGTATAATATATACTGACTCGTTCGAATGTGTATACAGAACGTTCTAAAAAAGTTTACTGCAAGTGATAACGTGAACGTGAATTCGTTTAAAATATGTTCGTAATGAGACACTCCGGCATATCAATAGGCATAAAGTGTTATACGCGTTTAAATATTCCATTAAATGTGTATATACGTGATATATTTGATATACACGCACCTAGATAACTCGCATTACAGACGTTGTATAAAGATACATTTTAAAATATCTGCAATAGATAAAGTAAGGTAACACGCTATAATTGCTAGAATAATAAATCTAGGTGAAGATAAAAGATACGTACACATCTATAGATTTCATAACAGTTGCGTGATTGATGTAACTTAATAATTCATAAATAATGACCATAATATCAATTCAAATTAAATATTTTACCTATTTTCTATACAATATATAAATAAATTCAAAGTGTCTCTCTGAAACGGCTGATCCGATTACAATGAGACTTTTACTGCGAGATAGAGTCCGGGGCATAATATAGACTACATTTTATTCCGTAACTCATCCTCGAAAGAGTTGATGAGACTCGATTTTCGATTTTATAATTCGAAATGTTTTTTATTTATGGGTTACCCTGGTGACACCGTCACAGATGAAAAGAAAACCGTTTAAATTATTATTATAATATTCAAATTATAATTATTAATAATATATTCAAATTTGAAAAACCGATAAAACAGAGGAAAAACGGGAAAATATAAGAAATGTAGGTATTAATTAAAATATATTATGGTCTCTTTTTTTCCTGTAAGCAACTTTTCTACTAGTAATTTGGCTCCGATTTATAATGATAGCAATTTTTCTGAAAAGAAATTTGACTGAGAAGGTACTTTAGGGAGGACATTTTTCGATTTTTCCAGAAAATGTAAAAAAAAACGGGATAAAACCGGGAAAAACATAGGAAAACTGGGAAAATCGGTAAAATATTAAACAAATATTATTTAAGAGAATATATAATGCCTATATAATTATTTTATGATAATATGGCATATACGATATATGTATATATATATATATATATATATATATATATTATTAACAAAATATCACTATCAACTGAACTCCGCTCAGAATCGTTTTTTCGTAAGCAACCATTTATCATTGCTTACAGGTATACATTAAATTACCTATAACAGTGACTGCACTCGTTCCCATTATCCTAGAACGTCTTTTTAAATTTGTTTTCATTCAATACTGTACACGAACAAAGCCGAATGAGACAGTTTGTTTTTAATTGAGATAGTTTTTAATAAATATATAAATTACGACTTAAAAAGATTTATGTAGATGATTCAATTATTTAACTCAGATAACTAATTTCTCATTTGACTAGATAAGGTATAGTATTAAAATATGTATAATGGGTTTTATTCTTTCCCACATAAAGTTCTCCATTGCAGACATCTTGATTTAATTTTATTTCCGACCGTACCTACTTAATAATAATATTTTGTTTTACAGCCCGAATGGAAAATTGTGGATCCAATTTGTACGTTTTTGTTCTCTATACTTGTGTTGGTCACAACGTTTAATATACTCCGGGACACGATGATCGTGCTGATGGAGGGTATGCCGAAAGGTGTGAATTTCACGGACGTACTGGAAACGTTCTTGAGCATCGACGGCGTAGTCAGGGTACATAATCTCAGGGTTTGGGCTCTGAGCCCCGATAAAATCGCCTTGGCCGCCCACCTCGCAGTCAGTGAGTATAAAATGATTTGTGTACGCTTTCTGGAAACCCTCCCCCTACAGACACACAAACACACACAACTCTAAAAAGATTCAACCCAAGTTATTATCTTTGCTGCTAGTTGAATATTTGGCCTAAATTCGATTTTCCTTATTCTCTCTTCGATTTGTATGTGTATATATTATATTTCAGGATTCTAGTGCACTCTTTTGCTCCTTTTCTTCTCGTTCCTCTAATTAGTTGGATATAAACCGAATTCTTAACTCATGCGTGTAAACACTTCTTTTTATTTTTGTGCATTTAATCTCAAGAATAAAATAAATAATGCAGTTTTCTCATTGTTTTGCAGATCCTGGTGTCAATACGACCGCGGTTCTAAAACAAGCGTCGCAAAAAATGTACAGAAAGTACAACTTTTTCGACTGTACGCTGCAGATCGAAGAATTCGAAACTCAAATGGAAAACTGCAAACAGTGTCAGACACCGAAGTGCTGATGACGACGAAGACACGAAAATTAACACAAGTTACCTTGCAGCCGCACTCTTACCTCCCATGTAAAAAAAAAAAAAACACATGTGTAGTAGGTATATAGTAACCATGGAGGCCTATTTTATTTTATTAATTTGTTATACATACATAGTATTGTTATTTGATAAAAATATGTATGTATGGCGTAAATATGATTATTTGAATAATAATTTATGTGTGTGTGTGTGTGGGTGTATACGTGTTTAATAATAATAATTTATTAATATTATATAAGCATATCAGTAAACTACAAGCCATAATAATAATATTATAATACGTTTTGGTCATTGTTTTTTGTTTATCATTATTAATTATTAATTCATTAATTAATAATAATTATATTATTATCATTTGTTTCGGTTTATTCTCTTTCATATTATATTACATTATAATATTTCTTAATGGTACAATTTAAATTTAATAATTACTATTATTATTAAATTCTATATGTTTTTATTATTATCGTAGATATATTATATTTATTTGTTCCAGCAGTTTTTTTTTCTTCAAATATTTGTTTCTTACATTAGGTTATATAAATTACAGTAATATTGAATTATGTTTAAGAACATAGAGTAAAAATAAAAGAAAAGTTATCAAACGGCTATAAATATATGATTATTATCAAATGGAATACCCAATAATGTTGTAAGTCTGAAAAATAAAAAACTTTTGAACATTTGAACGTACATTTTTATAGTTTGTGTATAGTTTTTTTTTTTTTTTGTTAGCCTTATTTATACTATTATTGTTTAAATACAGTGCTAATTATTTAAATATACGAGTATACCTATATATATATATATATAATATTTCGGGAACAATATTTTGCCATCAAATATTAATATAATATAATATATTATTACTCTATAAACGTTTTTATTATATTATATTAACTACAACATATGTATGGAAACTATGTATTTAAAAATGTACAAAATAACTTATGAACTAAATATTATATAAATATACAATTTTATTTTATTCATATTACCTATATAATAAGAATTGTTGTAAGAAAATATATATTTCTTTTTAAACTTTATTTGTATTATTAAACGCCTATATATTGCATTACAATAATATTTAAAATAAACGTGCACACCTATCATTTAACAATAATAAACGTATTGCAAAATTATAATATATTTAAGTATACCTAAGTAAATACGAATAATACAATATTGTCAAACAAATACACGATAAAACAAAAATATAAAAAAATATGGTCTGGCTAAAATATAAGGCGAATGTATATTAATATTATCTATAGATTAATTAAAATATAGTTTTTAATTAGATAGATAGACGGATTGAACACCCCCTCCTTCCCCTAAATGAGTTGTAACACTTATTAATTAATTTGCCTTTCGTAAGAATTTATTTTTTTTTTCTTTTTGTTCTTTTTTTAAAAAAATGAAACATTTATTACATCCATATTTGGTGATACAGTTAGATAGAAGAGTGCCTAATGACAGTAGATTGTAACATAAATCATGAATCATTATTAAAGCATAAAGAAATATAATTTTGTTAGTGTGTATGGTAAAATTGATAAAAATTCCAAGCCTCCCCCATACATTTTACCAAAAATCTTCTTGTACTTGACATCTTACTGTTGATCAAATAAATAACAATCATCTACTAAAAAAATGTTTGAATCGGAAAAATATAGTAAGTGAAATTATGAAACATTGAAAAAAAATTAACTTGTCTTGCATTGATTGAAATCAATCTTACCAGTGGAGGATTGACAAACAACCAATAATGCTCCTGAATTAGTTTCATTTATATACGTAATATTATTTTTTATTTTTGTGTTATAAAATTATTTTACATAATTTGTAAAATACCTAATTTTAATTTAGATTATGATTAAATAACATAAATTAACACATAGGGCAAATTTAATATATAATCATGATAATAACTAAATATATGAACGATACATTATTTTAAAAAAAAAATTATAATTATCAATATCAAAGTTGAATATGTATCGATTCTCGGTAGTTTTTAAGTATTCATTTAAGAAGTTATTAGTAAGGGAACGCTAAAAAAATAGACGACTGACGACTAGAACTACACTATATCGTGGTACATTCGTAACTCGTGTTTGTCCAGAGTTTTAGGTCAGAGACCCGAGTACCTACATGGATGCATAAACTTCTTTAGAGGACAGAAGACATTACCTTTATTTATACCTTGACCCCCTACCCCCACCCAGCCACCGTCGTGGGTAAAAAAGTTCACGCGTGCGTCACGTACGACAGTATACACATGAGCATACGTAAACCCACGTACGCACAAGCCCAACGCGTGCCAAGCACTTCATTCTTCAAGGCAAGGTAATCGGTATGACGTTATTAAAATAATGAAGTACGTGCACGTGTCAAGTACAGCAGAAAACCTAATTTCATCGAAACCCAACATTTCGTTAGCAGACTCGTCGCATCCTCGAAAATAGCTGACGAAATTATAAAGAGGGCTTATTCCACAGGCGAAACACACGATTTTTTTTTCGAAGCGTGAAAACCTTTAAGAAATATTTTAATTCATATTAAACAAAAATGTTTAATTATAATACCAAGAAAGACTGATCATATTAAGACTTCTATAGAAATGACGGGGAGTTACTACACCTAATTATTGAAGGAGAAAATACCGTATTTAAGTCCGTATTATTTTAAAAATGTAGAACATAAATAGGATATAACAGGGGTTTATTTTTTTTAATTCTGAGAGGAGCGAGGGATGCAAGGAATTGGTTTTGGTGGTTTTATCTTAATATTTGCTTATTTTTTTTCTGTACAACTTTTCTACAGAAAATTTTGTTCCATTCAGTAAGTAGTGTTTATCTTTTTAAAAAGAAAATGTTGTGTGGTTAGTATAAAAAAAGTCGTTTTTGGATTTTCCGTGTAGTTTTCTTAATAATTGGGAAAAATCGGAAAAAAAGGGGAAAGTTTATTTTCTATTTGATTGAGCTATTATAATAGACATTTGACATGTTTAGATTCGGAGCACAGCGAGATGTATTTTTTTTTTTTTATTGTTTGATCAACTTTTTGAATAGAAAACGTGCTTATCGATTGTAGCATCTTTTCTAAAGGTTTTTTGACATTCTAAAAGGTTTTCATAATAATCTGGAAAACCCGAAAAACAACATGAAATGAAAACTGACCAATTTATGGTATTATAATTTAAATCCGAAAAAAGACTTTGAATGAACGGGAAAGTTTACAGAAATAATACATGTTATATTTTAAATTTTTACAGAAATTTTATACTTCCATTTTCTCAACGTGGTAAAATTTTCAAAACATTTTAGTGATTTTTGAGTTATTGATAGGCATTTTATGTTTTTTACGTAGTTTTATTTGGTAAATACTATGTAAATATATAATGTTTTACTGAAGAAAAATGCATGCTAATTTAACAGGAGATTCATTATAAGTTGTACTTTGGTGTCAAAACGTAGTATTTGTTTTATATACGCATTTAAAGTTCAAATTTTAATGGAAATCGTAAAAATCACTACATTTCAAAATATAACCGAATTTCATTCTCAATCATATTTCGTTAGTAATTATTTATCGCTGTGTATAGATATACATTAAATAACGTTATGTATACTACCTTACCAACTTTTCACCTATACAATTGTCACACCCAGCGGTGAATCCAGAAATCTTTTAAAGGCGGAACATATTATTTATATTTTCTGTAAATTAATCATAAATTATGCGATAAATTATTGTAAAATATATCAATAAAAAACTGTAGTCCATTGACAGGGGGCACGTGTCTCTAAGCCTCTCCCTGGATCCGTCATTGGTCGCTGGTATCGCGCTTTTTTTTAAAAAAAAAAAAAGAAAATATTATAAATACACAATCATAGTTTGTTGCGTATTATTTTCACAGTTTAAACGGTTTCTACTGGTTCGCCTGTGACCGATAAGAGAGTTCAGTTTCCGCCGTTTCCGGTACTCTGTAATCTAATAAAAATAAAATAATATATTGATGGCGTAATCGTTACAACTAACTATATCACTTGGTTTCAATTTTCACATCACCGTTTAGTATAGATACGAAGAAGTCTCCAGAGCACGCATTTTATTTTAGTCGTTAGTTTTATTGCCAATACTAAATTGCTATCTATATAGTATTATAGTTGTTAGAATAAGTAAATAGTTATAAACATTTAGGCAGTTAAATTATTCAGGACGATAAGAGCACTAAAGAAATAAAATCCAGGATAGCACGGACACGAGTGAAAACAAGATACTTATTAAGTTTCAAAATAATGCGGTGTTGGTGGAGAATGTTGAGTTAGCTGGACTGAATTAAGAACCAACGGCAGCGTACTTAATGAAATAAGTGAACCCGGATAATTATTAAGATCGATAAAAGAAAGAAGATGGAGATTAATTAAACACACTATGAGACATATCCAATGAGCTAAATGATAAAATTATTGAAGGAACATTTGAAGGCAAAAGAAGCAGAGAACGTCCCGATCAACGCTCATCAAAAGTCATTCCTGCAGACACTGGATAAATATGGTGCATGGACTTGAAGAGACTAGACCTGTTGCTATAGGGAAGAATGGAAGGGTTATGGAAAAATACTGTAAAACCAATCTTCGGGTTAAATACCAAAGAAGAAGAAAATAGTTGAATCTATATTACGTTATGCAAATGGCACATTATTATGGTATTCGACAATCTAGCTCCAGTATTATTATTCAACTGCCTATTATTATTATAAATATTTAAACACAAGGTGGGCTAAAATTGTATTAAAATATGAAAGTACGAAAATATGTGAAATTACAGAAATGGTAATATTTATTATTATTTGACCTTATGAGATTATATAAAAAAAAAAAAAAACTAGACTAACGGGTGCGAGCAATTTTTTTTAAAAATTATCTGACTATAGATAATAGCTATTGCATGTATTAATCTTGTTGTATAGCCTACATAGGTATACATTATATTTCCAGATTTTAAGCACCTACTTTAAAATTGCAAATGTTTTAAAAATGTGTATAGATTATAAGTAACGAAACACCATCAATATTTATGTTCGCGCAAATTAATTGTTTCACGTACATAAACTACAGAGAAATCGTACATTTCAAGCCCCCGAGCAAGAGACTTTATGCAATTAAAATTCAGAAAAAAATACTTAAAAACTTAAAAATAAATCTTTGAGAATTCACTTCAAAATATTTAAAAAAGCAAAAATGGTAGAAATAAAATAAAATTTTCTAATAATACAAAAATAATCAACTTAATATAAAATAATTTTTTTTTTATATTTAATACGTAAAATTTTATTTAAAAATATTACTTACTTGGTGTTAATTTAATTATTTTTGTAATTTTAAAAAGTTTTATTTTACAATTTAGAGCCAAGTTAGGGAGTACTTTAAAAACTATTTCTACCATTTTTTGCTCTCTTTAATGTTGTTAAAAGTTTTTTTGACGCTTTTAAAACTTTTTGTGTATTTTAAGTACATTAGGTCCTGAGCCCTGGTTAAGGGAATGACACGGACATTAAACATTTACGTAGCTTTTTTTTTTTACACAAAATACTGTTCATCGTAAATTTATTAAATAATGATAATAATAGTAATTGTTAGTTTTACAACAAAAATACAATCTGAACAAATTAAGTAAAATTTTTTGTTGCACTCGTCATTTCTTTGATCACTACAGCGCGATCTAGTGGTGTAGAATTACACTAGCGAACGTGCATTTTAAATCGAGTTAAAGAAGTTCAAATAGTACCTTAATATATTATTAAGATTTTTATTTGAGCGTAATGCCAGATAATTAAGTTCGAAAAATGATTCAGGGTTTATGAAAATTATAATATATAGGTAGCGCATAAAATACCTGGTTTTATTTACATAATAAAGAAAATACATTTTTTTATATATATATATATATATATGTATACATAAAAAACTTCATTTTTAAATTACAAAATATGAATTACTATAAAAAAAAACTATAAAACAGCAACAAATTGGTTATTATACATCATTATTATAGTTCAAACCGTGTATACAAAATTTCGTCTGTACAAAAAATAAAAATCGGAATACAAACTTATTGCATAAAAAATAGTTTAGGTTTCAAAAATGTCGATTTTTAGAACCTCATGTTTTATGTTTGTTATATGCTTTATTCTTTATATTTTATTATTATTCACATGATTTCATATAAAATAATATTTCGTCGTAAACGTCTTTGGGTGCTGATAAATACAGTTTTACGGTCGTGGCAAAATTAGCAAAAAACACGTGACGTACGGGGATTATAAATAGTATTACGAGTATACTTAATGATTTTTAAATTAATTATATTTTTGTTTTCCGAAACTAAAGATATAGGTAAGTTATTTATATTAAAAACGTAGTCAACGTAGTCGGGTGCTTAGAGTAGATCTGTCGCATAATATGAATAGTAAAAATGAAAAAATGTATTCGTTGAGTATATTTTGAAAATTAACCATTTTATGGCAAGTGAATTCGGGTCACCGACCGCGTTCTCGAAATCATGTTATTTACAGATGTGTGAAAATATACGTAATATTATAATCGAAAAAAAAAAATCTGTAAGATAAAACTCGCGGATCCGGGGGTGAAAAAAACGTGTCGATATATATCAGTCGTAATATTTGCTACGGGAACTCGGACAGAAACAGAAGCGCTCACGGGCGTGCGTCACCCAATCGGCAACGTGTTCCACGGACCGTCTCCAAAACGACTTTGGCACCCGGTCATCGGCGGCGGCAACGGCTGCGGGAACGCGCACGGCGGTCGGCGAGTCGGTGGATACGGCCGTTATGACGTCGGCGTCCGGAGGCTGCGGATAATCGCAATTGCACTGTAACTGCACTGGCGCTGGTGATGGAGGTAGTGGTGGTGGTGGTGGTGGCGATGTTGGTGTTGGTGGTGGTGGTGGTGGTGGCGGTGGTGATGTTGGTGTTGGTGGTGGTGGTGGTGGTGATGATGGCGATGTTGGTGGCGGCAATGGAGATGTTAGTAGCGACGGTATTAGTGGTAATGGCGGTGTTGGTGGTGGTGGTGGTGGTGGCGGCGGCGGTGGTGATAATAGTATTGGTGACGGTGATGGCACCGTGTCAGTTAACATCGTCGCGTTGCTGTTCCAGTTGTAAAAATCGGAATGTTAAATCTGAAAAAAAAAAATTATTTGCAACGTTTTTCTAGTCATTCTCGTCGTTTACGTTAAAATACCAACATTAAAATAACGAAATATACAAATCGACTAAAATCCCAAATTATTATCTTCTTTCGACGCGAATCGCTTAGTAATAGTGCAATAATTTTAAACGATTTTAGAAATAGTTTTTTTTTATCAATTTTTCGAACAAAAAACACGCATCGTATAGGTTAATTCACCGTTCCGATATAATTTTATACAATAATCTTGGATCTTGAATTGGGACGTACTCACCAAATTTGTCGAAAATGACTTATTCAACACCCCTACCCTCTATTAAAAAAAAAATGTATCGCTGCTCTCGAATATTGCATTTCGTAATGAGTATTTATATTTAAAATGTTCACGTTCACGGAGAATCAGACACATTTTCGCGTCATTTCAGCATTTGTTTTGAGTATATTTTAACATTTAATAATCGTATCGTTAAGAGCCACGAAGAAAATAGAATAATCGAACCACGGATTTATATTGTCCGCGGGAACATTTTTAGATATTTCCCCATCTCTCCCTAAACCCAAAGAGCCGAAAATGCCGCTAAAAGGCTCTGACAGTTAGTCCGGAACGAATATTACCCGGTTGACTTTCTCCCGTCACCCCTACCGAACGAAGCCGCTGAAATAAATTCGCTAGGGATCCGAAAAGTCTATTCGATAGAAAAAAACAAAAACAAAAACAAAAACAAAACGCTGCACACTGCAGATACTAATGCATTAAAGAGTGTTCAACAATCTCGTCGACAATGATGCAATAAGGTCAATACCGTCGAACGTATGAGACTCCGTCGGTTCACGACGGCGACCGATTTCGAATTTTAATACCCATACATGTGTACACATGTATATTTTTACAAGATAAGAACCGGTGCATTTTTCTGTTAGATTTTGAATTGTGAACGTTTTAAAACGAATAAAACATAAATACCCGCGTACCATAATCGAAATAATAAAATTAAAACCGCACGCAACGCGACAACGTTGAAACCTCGCACCGTAAAACAAATAATTAAATTAATATTATAGATATTTTGTGGCTGATAGTTTCATTAAAACCGTATTCCGTATGTTCTTACCTTATTATAGACAACCCGTCAATATTTCGCCATACTATATGGTACGTGTTATAGGCACGTCAAAAAAAAAAAAAAATAAAAATATTTAAAAAAGTTTCAAACGACAAAATACGGATAACGTCACTTTCATGTATTGTTATAGTTCCGGGCGATTTATATCCGAATTTATACGACCGCCATTGCCGAAAAGTCGTATACGAAAACAGCACTGTATAATATTATTGTTGTAAACGCTGCAATCGATTTTCATTGATGGCGCTTGTTATCAGTTGGAATTATTAGGTTATACAAGGTATGCGTAGGTACCTACCTATCTTTAAAGATAGCGGCACTAAGATTATGTCGTTTTTTTCATTAAATTTTTTTTTTCTTTCGAGAGCCAATAAAACGGTCCGTCGCCCCTTATGAGGATGTCTAACGTGAGTTAGCCGTCTGTGTTTATCCAATACAGTGGCACAACCCGGGGGCGGGGATATTTTGAGTCTCCAGGCACCTCCCTCGATCCGTGTCTAAGTGATGCACATGTATTAAAATGTGTTTAATAACGTGCGTTTATTTAATATAGACATTTGGAATACCCCTCAAAAAAATCCCGACGACACCACTGATTCAATACCTACATGGAAATAATGTGTTTCCGGTACTTCCTGCGGTATAGTGTAGCACGCTGATATAGTGGTGAGTAGGTCTCGTCGATTGTATGGACTTGATTTCGGAGCGAAAACAAACACGAGAAGTTTCACTAAACTGTATTTTTCGAAATTTTAATCTGCTTAATTTCGATTTTTTCGAAATATTTTTAAAAGGCAAATCTTAAAATGCAAGTAGTATCGGCTTGAACATTTAATTTTTTTTTTTTTTTACGGACATTCAGTGCAACTTATTACATTTGTTTTGGTACCGAAATCAAGTTTACACAACCGACGAGAACCGAGTTCAATTGGAAATGCAATATAATTTATTTTTACTTTATTGCCAATTAGATACAGACAAAGACGAGAAATGCACGTAATAATTTTTGTTTATATCGAACGTTCTGAAGTTTTTGTTTTTTAGTAATTTGTCAAGTGCCCAAAGTGTACTGACACTGTCGTCACTAATAACAGCTAGTAACCCAACGATTTTAAATCTGAAACTAAAACGTTTATATTCATGACTAGAGTTAGAGAGTTCTGCCTTTGCGTAGAATTTTCGAAAGACTAAAAAATATCAGAGCCAAACATAAATATTGTTCATCATGCAAGGAATCTAAATGTTAAATTTTATTTAGGATATGTTTGCATATTTTACAGTTTTTGCTTTATAGAGCATATTTGGCAGTAAGTAACTTTTGAGTGCTCATAAGCACTCATATCTATTGTATGCAGCGTATCATACGTACGCTTTTTTCGATTTACATTGTTCAAATGCATACGTGCGATAGCATAGTTCGCGAATAGACTATCGTAAAATAGTAAATTTAGTTAACAAACAGTCATTGTGTTTGATCAATAACTCACAAATTATTAATCTCAAAACACATCGTTTTTACGTATAAATAATAATCATAATAGAAAAAATAAGTTATTTGTTAAGTTTTTAGTACACGATTTCAATAAAAGAAAAATCGTTTACCGCATATTTGGTTGTATTTTAAAGCATATTCGTATGCATGTTTGCGCGTGTTTTCAGGGAGCTAGAAGTCCCAAAGCCTATTTATTACCTGTACGATATACACATGAATACATTTGTGTACAGTCGTGAATCATAATAGGATATAGCGGTTGACTTTTCAAAGTAAAGAAAAATTGCGTTATGCACTCGTGTATTTTTCGCCGGTTAACTATTAATTAATAATATTTCCTTCTGTCGATATATTATATTTTTCTTTTTTCAATCCGAACATAACAATACAAATTATATAATAACATTCGCCGCGTTTTAATTTTCAATTGTGCAGTTTTACGTACACTGTGTCGTAACTGCCGACTTCGAAACTAAGCCAAGTACCTGTTACCCACTATATGATATTATGTTATATTATCAATAACGAATAATATTATCGCGGCTAAGGCTACCGTTGTACATGCACAGATATATTATATGTATATAGTATCTAAAGAGGATGAGGTATGGCATGATCGAACGAGGAAACCGGCGGGTGTATAATGTATAGAGCGATATATACTCGTGGAATCGCGTGGTAACAAGAAAAAAAAAACCGATGTAGGCCGAACTGTATATCGATAAAAATAATAATCATTATACACGGTTACTCGTTTAAAAAACACTCGAGTCGCACATCGATAACGCTCGAGAGATACGAGATATTATGTGTTCTGTTAAAAATATTACGGCAAACTTTTATATTATTAATTTTCTACTGATTACGCAATAGCTATATACGCATAATTGATAAAAAAAAATATCGGGAAATCAATACGGGCAAAAACAGCTGGTATCATACGCGAAATCGTCAAGTCCCGTAGCCTAGGAATAGCCATTGAACAATTTTCTAACATAGCGCGGTCGAAAGGACAGCCTAACCGAGTTACGGTGGCCAAGGGCTCGCATCCTATACATAGGTATAGATTTTATCATCGGACAAGGATTGACGGACAAACGCATTCAGTCAATCTGGCGCGATAAAATTCAAAAAAGAGGTGTAGATTTTAATTATCGTATAACAATACGAGGTAAAGATGAATGTTCCAGAACAGTAAGTGAAACTTTTGAAATTCCATACGGAGATATGAGTTCAGCGCTTGAAAAGTTCATTTCAAAATGGAATACGTCCACTATTTCGCCTCGTTAAAATGTGACTAATTTCAAGCTCGTTCGCTAATTAAAAAAAAGAACAAGTTCGTTTCCTTTGGTCCTTAAATAAACAAAAAAACCATTAATTTGTAATTATATTTGGATAATATATATCGATTTCATATAAATACCTAATATCTAAATATTTTTCAAAGAAGATTTATAACTATTTTAGATTCTGGATATTTATTTAGAATGTATTGGTTTTACAATGATGTTTATTTTTTTTTTCTGTAAACAACTTTTCTACCAGAAATTTTGCTTCGATTTTCAAGCGTTGCACTTTTTCTGAAAGGAAATTTTCCTGAAATGGTACTTTAAGCAGGTCATTTTTTGATATTCTAAACAGTTTTTAAAATAATTGGAAAAAAACGTAAAAGAAACGGGAAAATTTAAGAAATAATGTTTTATTGTTTTCAATTTTGTTTTTTGTTGTAATTTAGCTAAAAATGTTTGTAGAGACTTGACGTTTTAACAGAAATCTTATATTTGCTTTTTATAGACGTGATCAATTTTTTTAAAACATTTGAGCTATTTCTAAACATTTTAATTTTGCGAGTTTTTTACGTAATATTTATTCGGTAGATACTTAATTAGGAAATTGGAAAATCGGAAAAATTGTGTTTGAACCAGACACCGCAAATGCAAAATGGTGCTACAACGTACCGAATGATTAAATATTTCTCCTATTTAACGTAGGTAAGGAATAATCTCATATTCGAGTCATATGTTTTGTTTTGTTAAATACACATTAAAAATTGTATATAAGTTTTAATCATCAACTTTATGTTTAATCATTTGAAATGAACACAGTTAAATTCAAAGGTATTTTTGGGAATTAGTTTTATTTTGTAAATGTTTGCTTTTGCATGCTTAATTTTATAGTTGGTCATTTTTTAAAGAACCCTGCGCCACTGCGAAAGACAAATTTATATATTATAAATAAATATTAAACAAAATGTTTTAAAAAATGTTTAGGGTTGTTAAAATTATTGAAATTAAGTAGGCTTTTTTAAAAAAAAAAGATCGAAGGTTCATGTTGCTTCAATCAATGAACGAAATTCCAATACGTTCTTTCACAGATCGGTTCCCGATAAATTTCTGAAAAACGAACGAAATAAAAGAAACTCATTCCTTTGAATCCGATTTTCCGAACACTGGCCGGATATGATACATGCGAACATGGCACGTAAAGAAATTTCAAGAATACTACAAGCCCGCTTTAAAAGTTTATCTTAGATAAACTTGATCAAAACTTGAGATCGATATCTGATTAATCAGAGATCGAATATAACTGTGGGTAAACTTGGAATTGTGTATAAGGTACGTATGTGAAATCACTAAAGCAGCAAAACAAGTAGTGGTAACCAACAAAAGAAATCTATGCAATGTCCAAACAGTTTTTCAACAGAACGGAAGCGGAACGTATGTAGAAATCACACAACTGTATATGTTAAATATAGGTAATTATATGACTTAAGCCATTCAGAACGTCTGCATTTAGATTAGGACAGTAAGTAATTAGTCATTTAGCTTCAATTATGCCATTTTGTAATTTTCAAAATTGAACTACCTTGAATAGACTTTAAAAAAATTAACTCGACCGTCTTAAGCTTTTTTTCATTCATCCCTGGAACCAAAAATATATTGAATTGAAACTCAGTGTGCTGAAAATCGAAAAAAAATGTTTATGTCACTTAATAATAGGCCGAAGATTATTTTTTATTAAACGAAAATTATCTACCTACAAAAAAAAAAAAAATAACAAAATAATAATAAATAAAAGTGATGAGATTGCAGGCTGACAGTGCAATACTTGCGTTTTAATTCCACCATTAGTCGTCTCACTCGACGGCGGTAGGTTTTAAAAATCACTCAAATACTCGAATTTCGAGGTTTCGCACCGGTAAATAAAAGGTTGTTCGAGTAATATTCTCATTTCTTCCTATTTTACGTTTTTTTTTTTTTTTTTTTTAAACCCACATCCAAGTGTTATTTTTCAAGGACGCGCGTTGTTTCGTCGTTGAGGTTTTCGGTCGTAATCGTCTTCAAATCACAACAGTATACACGTGTATAATATATTACCCACTTCCAGTCAAAACGTTACGTTGCACAGCTTCTGTACAACCGGTATACGGGTAGGTACACGACATAACATTTGCTCTAATAGTCTGTTATTGTAGTAACCCATAACATTACATATTATTATGTTCGCTCGTCGTGTATTCTATTTTCTCTAACGATCATTACTTCACCGGGTATACCCGACCGCGGGCGCCCGGGGTACCGCGCGCGGTAGTGCGTCGTGTATTATAATACGCGAGTACGGGAGCATGTGGCACGGCACACGGAACCTCGTGTTTCGCGATTGTTGTCAACGACGTTTTGGGCGCGTATGCG